GACTGAAAATTTATAAAATCATCATGAGAACCAATAGTCATATATAATTTCAGATCATCGGCAAAAAGTAAAAAAGAACAGAATTTAAACGCAGAATTTATGTCATTAATGAATAAAAGAAATAATAAGGGACCCAGGTGAGATCCTTGGGGGACACCAGAAGTTGCCGTAAACATCTCAGAGTAAACACCATCCACACGGACACATAGGCAATTGGCAATTAAGTAGCTTCGAAACCAAGAAACAATATTAGGACCAATGCCCAGTAATTTTAGCTTTTTAAGAAGAATTTCATGATCAATCTTATCGAATGCCTTAGCAAAGTCCGCGTAGACAGCGTCAACCTGATGACCACTCTCGACTGCAGAAACCAAACTTTCATAAAAAATACCAAGATTAGTAGAAGCTGATCTACCCCTAAGAAATCCGTGCTGCTCGTCAATAATCACTCCGGAAACAGATAGATAAAGTTCATCATAGATAATGCTCTCAAAAATCTTGGGGATTGTGCTGAGAATAGTAATTGGTCTATAATTTTTAACATCATTTTTTGATTTATCTTTAAATACAGGAACGACTATTCCTATTTTCCACTGTTTTGGAAAAATGCATTCCCGCACGGACCTAGTAAAAAGTATATATAAGGGTTCGACTAGACAAGAGCAGCACGACTTAATCAAAGCAGGAGGGATACCATCAGGACCAGCACCAACATTCACATTGCAAGACAATATTTTCTCAGCTATGTCACTTTTGTTAATATGAAAAGAATTAAGACAAACGGAATCGTGCACTTGAAAAGGAGTAGTAACAACATTACTATCATAAGCTTCGTAAACCGATTCAAAATAGGTTGCGAAAAAAGTGAAATAGTGAAGCTAAATGCCATAAAATAGAAGAAAAAGTGTTGAATTTTAAAAAATTTGGTTTTTCGAATTTTTCATAATTTATGAAAATTTAAAATTTTTAACCAAAGGGTTGAGATTATTTAATAAGTAAAGTAGTTTTGAAGAGCACAAAAATAGTGAAGCTATTTGCCATAAAATAGAAGAAAAAGTGTTGAATTTTAAAAAATTCGGTCTTTCGAATTTTTCATAATTTTTGAAAATTTAAATTTTTTATCAAAGGGTTCAGATTATTAAATAAGTAAAGTATTTTTAAAGAGCACAAAAATAATGAAGCTATTTGCCATAAAATAGAAGAAAAAGTGTTGAATTTTAAAAAATTCGGGTTTTTGAATTTTTCATAATTTTTGAAAATTTAAAATTTTTAACTAAAGGGTTGAGATTATTTAATAAGTAAAGTGTTTTTGAAGAGCACAAAAATAGTGAAGCTAAATGCCATAAAATAGAAGAAAAAATGTTGAATTTTAAAAAATTCGGTTTTTCGAATTTTTCATAATTTTTGAAAATTTAAATTTTTTATCAAAGGGTTCAGATTATTAAATAAGTAAAGTATTTTTAAAGAGCACAAAAATAATGAAGCTAAATGCCATAAAAGAGAAGAAAAAGTGTTGAATTTTAAAAAATTCGTTTTTTCGAATTTTTCATAATTTTTGAAAATTTAAATTTTTATCAAAGGGTTCAGATTATTAAATAAGTAAAGTATTTTTAAAGAGCACAAAAATAATGAAGCTAAATGCCATAAAAGAGAAGAAAAAGTGTTGAATTTTAAAAAATTCGGTTTTTCGAATTTTTCATAATTTTTGAAAATTTAAATTTTTTATCAAAGGGTTCAGATTATTACATAAGTGAAGTGTTTTTGAAGAGCACAAAAATAGTGAAGCTAAATGCCATAAAATAGAAGAAAAAGTGTTGAATTTTAAAAAATTCGTTTTTTCGAATTTTTCATAATTTTTGAAAATTTTAATTTTTTATCAAAGGGTTCAGATTATTAAATAAGTAAAGTGTTTTTGAAGAGCACAAAAATAGTGAAGCTATTTGCCATAAAATAGAAGAAAAAGTGTTGAATTTTAAAAAATTCGGTTTTTCGAATTTTTCATAATTTTTGAAAATTTAAATTTTTTATCAAAGGGTTCAGATTATTAAATAAGTAAAGTATTTTTAAAGAGCACAAAAATAATGAAGCTAAATGCCATAAAGGAGAAGAAAAAGTGTTGAATTTTAAGAAATTCGGTTTTTCGAATATTTCATAATTTTTGAAAATTTAAATTTTTTATCAAAGGGTTGAGATTATTAAATAAGTAAAGTATTTTTGAAGAGCACAAAAATAGTGAAGCTAAATGCCATAAAGGAGAAGAAAAAGTGTTGAATTTTAAGAAATTCGGTTTTTCGAATATTTCATAATTTTTGAAAATTTAAATTTTTTATCAAAGGGTTGAGATTATTAAATAAGTAAAGTATTTATGAAGAGCACAAAAATAGTGAAGCTAAATGCCATACAATAGAAGAAAAAGTGTTGAATTTTAAGAAATTCGGGTTTTTGAATTTTTCATAATTTTTGAAAATTTAAAATTTTTAACCAAAGGGTTGAGATTATTTAATAAGTAAAGTAGTTTTGAAGAGCACAAAAATAATGAAGCTAATTGCCATAAAGGAGAAGAAAAAGTGTTGAATTTTAAGAAATTCGGTTTTTCGAATTTTTCATAATTTTTGAAAATTTAAATTTTTTATCAAAGGGTTGAGATTATTAAATAAGTAAAGTATTTTTGAAGAGCACAAAAATAGTGAAGCTAAATGCCATAAAATAGAAGAAAAAGTGTTGAATTTTAAGAAATTCGGGTTTTTGAATTTTTCATAATTTTTGAAAATTTAAAATATTTAACTAAATGGTTGAGATTATTTAATAAGTAAAGTATTTTTAAAGAGCACAAAAATAGTGAAGCTAAATGCCATAAAGGAGAAGAAAAAGTGTTGAATTTTAAGAAATTTGGTTTTTCGATTTTTTCGAATTTTCGAAAATTAAAAATTTAACTAAAGGGTGGAGACTATTAAATAAGTAAAGTGTTTTTGAAGAGCACAAAAATAGTGAAGCTATTTGCCATAAAATAGAAGAAAAAGTGTTGAATTTTAAAAAATTCGGTTTTTCGAATTTTTCATAATTTTTGAAAATTTAAAATTTTTAACCAAAGGGTTGAGATTATTTAATAAGTAAATTAGTTTTGAAGAGCACAAAAATAATGAAGCTAATTGCCATAAAGGAGAAGAAAAAGTGTTGAATTTTAAGAAATTCGGTTTTTCGAATTTTTCATAATTTTTGAAATTTTTAAATTTTTTACCATATGGTGGAGACTAATTAATAAGTAAAGTGTTTTTGAAGAACCCAAGAATAATGAAGCTATAAATGCCATAAAAGAGAAAAAAAATGTTGAAAGTATTTTTTAAAGAATTTTTTCATTTTGCAATTTTTCCAGTCCATTCCAGTAAAATCTATTAGAATTTTTTTAATAATTAAACTTAAATAAATTGCATTAACACTTCTACTTGATAGTTTTAAGGGACCCAATAAAGAACCACCTTTAGAAAACAGTCAGGAATTTTTTAATTTAGGATTATCGTATACTGAAGAAGGAATAAAGTAAGTATTAAAACAAATTGACGTCAATTTGATGAAAATCAAAATTGATCAGTGTAATGATAGAATATGATAGAAAAAGTGTATAAATTAATAATATATTCTAATATTTGTTGGAACAAACAATTTTTACTTAAAATTAAACTACATAAACTGACAAATTTTATATTTTTATAAATTAATATTAATTATTTTCTTTCCTAGACATTACAAGCAATTGGATAACTGCTCATATACAATAATTGAAAAGGAATGTAATAAAAATGCAGCGAAGAAATATAAGAGAATAGTTACAAAACTATACAAAATTTTAGAAGTAAATCTTATAAAGTCGAAAGTGTAGAAATATTCACACACATTTTTCAATTTAATAGTTTTCTTCAGACTGCGAATATAAACTTGAAAATCAATAAGAATATTGACTGGGACCCAAAACTAAATTAATAATGAACATTTTTTGAAAAGAATAATTTCAATTTTATTTTTAAAATATTTGTTTGTGAAAACCATATAATTATTGAATAAATAATTTTGATTAATGGGTTTATGGTTCAGAATAATATAAATTTAATATCATTTAACTTTGAAACGTTTTATGTTGTTTTAATAACTGAAAGTTTATTATTTTAAACACAATTCTTAAATAAAAATTTGAACAAAACTCATAAAATAAATTTTCTGTGCAAGATAATATTTATATTATGTTGATATATAATTATCTGCAAAACTACAATCATTGAAAAGAAAAATTAAAAGAATCTTATAGGTTTAAATTTCTAATGTTTAAAAATTAAGCTTAAGAAATTATTTTTAAGTAAATACATTTTTAAATATTGAAATATCTAAAAAATTTTGTTAATCAGTTTAATTATTGTTAAATTTGACATTTTTTGAACACTTTTTGAAATTTTGCGTTTTTCACGAGTTAAACGCAGAAAACCTTAATTTTATGATTTTCGCCATTAAATTAAAATTTACGCCAATTTTTACTATGATTTTCGTAATCAGTGCATAAAAATAAATGAGTATACCAAATTTCATTAAAATTGGTTGGGGTTTTTTTTGGAAGTACATCCAGAAATTGTTTCACTTTCATACAATGTGTATAGCAAATTATCTAGATTTATTATTAAAGGTCAAACCATTGTCAAAATAGAATTTTATAATATATTTCATTATAATTGAGTAGCTAAAACTGTTTTATTTATTTGTATCTAAAATTCTAAATACATACACATAAATTTATACCTATTGAATTTGATTACTCTAGTGCAAATTACATCATATTTATCATCATTGCTCACTTTTATTAAAATTTATCGATTTTCCATAATAATCCTAAAATAATCGAGACCAATTGTAATAAATATATTTTTTGTAAATCGCAGGAATAATAAAAATAAATTTTTTTATAGTTTGCAGCTGTTTATCTTATTTTTAAAAAATAATAATACTAAATATTTTCGAAAAGTTTCTAAGGTAATAAAAGTTTACAACTTGGTCACAATTTCTTGATATAATTTTACTATTTTTGTATGAAAATGTATTAATACTAGGATGGGTTTTCAAAAGACGCATATTTTACAGTAGTTGACTTTTTGTTATTAGAAGAAGCAGAATAAAGTGTCCGAAGGTAAGAAATTAATTTCTTTAATAATATAACCAAAAGTATCATGTAAAATTATATTTATATTTAATATAAATATAATTTTTTGTTGATTAAATAATTTCTTCTGTACATGTCACTATAATTTGTGAAACAACATAAAAGTTTCATGAAACTTCGATATCTAATACAATTCTTCACAAAAGTTCAATTGCTGCATGAAACATTTAAAAGATATAGGGACTAACTTCACCAACTCTGATTGAAAGTTAATCAACGATTAAAGCGATTACAACTTTTAAAATTAACAAAATTGAACTGCCCTCATTCCATCGTATGCCCGTGTTATTTCTATTTATCAAAGAGTCTTATTTATATATTTATTTGTCGCTTAATTATATTAGTTTGTATTATATTCTATATTGTACTATGTATATTAAATTATTTTATAGTATATTATCAATTTCCAGTTAGTCGCAACAGAAAAATAAAATCAAATAAAAGAAGAAGTTCATGAATATGGAGACATTTATTTCTTCAGTATCCCACTATCATTTTCTTTCTGCCTGCCACTACATTACGAGTATAGGGATCATTTTAAATAACAATAACTTAATTCCAAAGTCAGTTAAGAACGAAACGGTCCCCGTTTTAAATGCCTTTTTCCAATATCTAAATAAATCTGAAAATGATTTCGCTCCTAAAATTAATCTTCTTGAGCAAATAAACAGAAGAACTAATATTTACCAGTATATAAGTAAGATGACTTCATTAACTGATGATCACGAAAACATTGGAAGTTATGTGAAAAACATTTTGAAGAAAAACAACAAAAAATCGTTTTCAACTTTGAAGGGAATTTTGTTTAAACATTTCTTTAAGTATCATATTATTAAGAATGTTTGCTCATTTAGAAAGGAACCTACAAAACTCAGTTCACTAGCAATTCAACGAATCTTTAAGGGCTATGTTTCGCCTATTTTTACTGGAATATGGAAAGCACAGATGAAAAAATAAATGGATGTACAGATGAAGAAATTATTTTACATAGACATATTTTAAAACAAAGGATGAGAAAGAAAAGAGGATACGTCCTCGTCTTTTGAAAGATTTCTTCATTGTAGAACATCCTTATAGTCAGCACTGTGCGGTTTAAGATTAATAAAAATAATTAAGTATACTTCATATGGATTATTATAATTTTTTGTTGCCCATGTATTGTCCTAAAGGACGCGCGATTTTGCGTAATAAATAAATAAACTAGAGATGCTAAAAAATTAGACTTGTTTCTTAAGTTATTATCCTTTTTCTCTTCTGCTGTGTAAGATCAAGCAAAAATTCCAGTTGTCATCTATATTCTGACGTAAGTTCTTTTTATTCAATTTTGACTTGTTGTTTCTTGTTAAGGGGGCACTTCATGTGCAGAATCTTGCAGTAATTTTTTCGAAAGTCACTACAACTTTAGATGATGTGGGGAAACACAATGGTAAAAAAATTAGTGTTAAAAGCCAGAAATTTTAAATGAAAGAATACTTTATAAGATCTCTTTTTATTAAAATTTTTTATAAACAAGTAAAATCCATTGCAATCCATTTGTATACAATCAATGTGCATCTATAGGATTCGGATATATAAATAAGATTTTATTATGTTCAACTATATCTATACTATTGAAAATGATTTAAATAATTACTAATTTACACATAATTTATAAGTTTACGATTGACGAGAGAAGAAATATATTATTTTGAACAATAATACTAACTTATGTGGTAAATACATTTAAAGAAATTTTATTTTAATACAACAATCTGACTGACTGACTGACTGACTTAAATATTAAGTTGTAGAAAAGTGTAAAGTGCATGAAGTGTTTATCAAAATTTTTCATTAAATATGCTGCACGAATTCCGGATTTAAAAATGAAAATCCCATAAATTCTGTTTGATCTAGATTCATCATGAAGAGCTTATCGGTAGGCGTGAGATCTGTTTTTTCTGACGTGAACTGCTTATCAAAATTACTTACATCTTTCCTGTGTTTCTGAAAAATTAAAAGCAGAAAATTAAAAAATTGTCTTTTTCTATTCGTTTAGGAAAATGTTCATCCATTGTTTTAAATAATTCTTCTTTTTCAAACTTACAATCTTTGGCTTGAATGGCGGTTGAACCTCCCGATATTCAATTTTTTCCCAGTCAATGCGGCGGAAAAATGCATGACTACGCACATCATCTTCTCCTCTCAATCCACAGCCTAATCGTTTATTTGGATTTTTCGTAAGGAACTGAAATAAATAGAAATATTAATAAAATTTAACATTTAAAACGAAAATAGTGGGAAGTATTTGAAAATTTAATTCCTACCCCTTTGCAAACTTCCTTTGCTTCTTTCGTCAAATTTTTCGGATAGCTAACATTATGATCAGTAATTGCAGCAAATAATTCTTCTTCATCCTCTCCATCGAAAGGTGGTTGTCCAACAAGCATTTCATACAACAAAACTCCATATGCCCACCAGTCTACAGATTTTCCATAAGGTTGATATAATATGATCTAAAAAGTTAGTTTTTATTAAGAAATCTTTAAAATGTTAAACATTTCATAACATTAATTATTATTATTATTACCTCTGGAGCTATGTAGTCTGGAGTACCACAAAATGTTTTTGTCGTTTTATCCCCTGTTATGCCTTCTTTGCACATTCCAAAATCAGCTATTTTTATATGTCCATCATGATCCAAAAGTACATTATCCAATTTCAAATCACGATAAACAATTCCTCGAGAATGTAAATAAAATAATCCAATTGCAGTTTCCGCAGCGTAAAATCTGTGCACAGAATTGTCAGTCCACTTACAAAATTCGCATTAAAAGCATAATACCTCTCATCTTTTGATAATATTTCAGTTAAAAATAAGTCTAGAGAACTTAAAAAAACATAGGAAAGCTAAAGTTCAAAACTATTCGTTAAATAGAAACTGACCCACACAGCATCGAAAATTTCCTGAAAGTTGAAATTAACTTGACTCCAACCTTCGGAATCTTTAATTGTGAAGCTCATGAAACTTGAAGTTTTTTTTTAAATACCCGATGTTATTCAATGTTTGACGCAAAAGTTGATTGAACATTGCATGAGAGTTGAAGAAATTTTAAACTTTCATACAATTGTTCAGTCAACTTTCGCGTCAAACATTGAAAAACAGTCGGAATTTAAAGAATTACTTCAACTGTACAGAGCCTCGCCTCGTTACTAAAGATTTCGAACATTGCAGTCTAGGTAATTTCAACTTTTAGAAAATAATTATGTTTAACTTAATTAGTGTCATAGTTTATTATCCCTTCTGAATTTATTTTTTGTTAGTCAAGAGAACTGTCATTATATGTTTTGTTTAACTATCTTAGGGACGGTTCCACAACTGTATTAACCAGAGTTTAAGAAAAGTTGTAGAACTACGGTTCTAAGAGCCAGTTCAACAACTTTTCGGTAAATTCTGGTTAACACAGTTGTGGAACCAGCCCATGAATATTTACGCGATGATTATAAATTTAAAAAAATTTAAATTTACTTACACTGCAACAGGTTCTTTAAATTTTCCACATTGTTGTATTTGGAACATCAAATCACCACCATTAACATATTCCATCACGAAATAAAGTCGATCCTGTAATGCAGAAATCATTAAATTCATTATTCTTTAAGCTTGCCTTTATTTGTTTAAAGCTATGTACTTAAAGCACTTTTTAGACATCAGCGTCCGATTGAAGACGTCCTAAAGACATCTTATATGCAAGAGACATTTTTTGGACACAAGATGTATTTAGGACGTCCTTCTAAGAGACATAGACATCCTAAGAACGACCTGAAGTCATTCAACATCATTGTGCACAACAGTTTCTCAAAATTTACATAATCTATTTCTCTAAAATTTTTTAGTTAAATAGATTATGTATATTTTGAGAAACTGTTAAATAGTTTCAAACACAGTATGAACGTAGTCTACAAGGGCTTTCCTGTAAAATGAGGTAACTATATGCATACAGCTTACCATAGTTTGAAAACATGAATGTAGCTGCACAAGAAACGGTGGTTTACTGGAAAGGGCCAAAACTCGCTTTTCAACCATTGTGCATTCTACATCATCGTCTTGAATAATAATGTCCTTTTTAAGTATTTTGATTGCATAAAGTTCATCTGTTCCTTTCCTTTCTGCCAGTAAGACCTTGAAGATGAAAAAATGAACTCGAAAATGAAGACCCATCAAAAACGTTCTGTAAGTGTTACATAACAAAAAGGTCACATTGTTATACCACACTGTTCCAATAATGTTACGTATTAAGTAAATAACAAAAACTTACGCTTCGCAGTAGCTTTACCACATTTTAGGAATGTAACATTTACGATAATTATTTAAATATCAAGTATATACAACATTTATGTTCATTAAGTCAATTTTTATGTATTGTACATTATACTTCCCACCTCGTACACTATTTTCCAGGAAGTTTGCATCAAACCAACAAATACCTTATTTGCTACTAAACAATAAAATTATTGTTAACTTCTGGTTTAGTAGCAACTTTAAGCAAAAAGCATTTATAAATTTTATTATAAATCGTTTCTTTCTTGATAGCTTGTTGCATAAAGAAAATATTTTTCTAGAATTCCAAAATTTTAAACTTCCTGTAAAATAGTGTACTATATTGGTAGTTAATATTTCTTTCATGATTTCTATGCAACTGTTCAGAAACCTAAAACATAACAGTTGTTCTGCTATGCAATAAGTCAGTTACAATATTACAAATTTGTATAATTTGTTACGTAACAGTTTTTTTAATTTATTACGTAACTGCTTCTAAACAGTGTGACAACAATTGTATAACCTTGTGATGTACCAGTTACATTATAAAGTATTAAGATCTGTCACGTAACAATTTTTTATGTTTTTAATAACAGGGTTGCCACAAAAATTTCATTTTATTTTTCCTTGACCCTAAAGAATATTCAGATTCACCCTAAAAATTATTAGATACTCAAAAAAATGTTCTATTACATGAACATGTATTTACGACTTTCTTTAATTGTAAAATTATTCAAAAACGTCAATAACTTCCTTTATTTAATAAATATTTCATCATTATTATTTTTTCGTAGGAATGAAAATTTTTAAAAAATTCAAATTTAAACCTTTTAATTTTACAAAAAAAAATTAAATTATTTATAATTAAATTTTAATAAAATCTTTCGCAAAAATTCAATTAATTTTATAAGTAATACTATTATTCACATCAATTCAATTATTTAAAAAAATGTAATGAAATTCGTTGTAAAAATATTCAATTATTATCATAAATAATAATAATAATCTTCACAGGATTTCAATTATTTAAAAACATTCGTTGCAAGACTTCAATTATTTCCCTAAATAATAAAATTCTTCACAAGATTTCAATTATTTTTAATACAATTTTAAGTAAATTCTTCGAAAAATGTAATTCATTTCAAAAATTTTATTAAAATTCTTCGAAAGAAATAAATGAACAATTATTCAATTATTTTTAATAATTTTTGCAAAAGTTCCTAGAGAATTTTCAAATCCATTTTGTTTACAATAAAATTTTACAAAATTTTGATTATTCGGAAATTCTTCCTATTAAATATTTAGAAAAAAAACCTTGAAATAATTTTTTAAAAAAACCAATTAAACTTTTTAAAAAAAATTAATTCTACAGAATTGTCAATTAAAAGTATGAAAAATTCAGATTATCAAAGATTTAAATTTGAAACTTTTAAAAATTCAATTATTTCTCAAAATTCATACTATAATGCTTTTAATGTTTTAATATTCAATTATTACCTAAAATTTTAACCAAAATTCATTTTTAAATTAATTTTTATTAGAAAATTATACGAGAATTCAATTATTTGATTTAAAAAATAAATAATTTAATTGAATGTTTCTTAAAATTTAATTTTTAAAAAGAATTTTATTCACAACTTTTGAAAATATTTAATTTCTTTTAAGGAATTTAATTAAAATTTTATTGAAATTTTTTATATTAAATAATTTTATAACAAGTTTTGAAAATAATTGAAATTTTTTTGACGAATTTTATTAACATTTTTAAAAATAATTGAGTTCCTCAGAAGAATTTAAATAATAATTTATGAAAATATTTGAATTCATGCGAAGGATTTTATTAAATTTAGTTTAAATAACTGAAATTTTGCCAAGAATTTTTTAATTAAATTTTTGACAATATTTTAATTCTTGAGAACAATTTCGCTATCTATTTATAAAAATAATTTAATTCTTGACTAGAATTTTTAAAAATGCAATTATTTCTAAAAATTCACGCTATAATGCCTATAATATTCAAATATTATCTAAAATTTTTACTAAAATTTATTTTTAAAACAATTTTTATTAGCAAATTTTACGAGAGCAAAAATGAAAAAATTATTGAAGAAATGAATCTTTTTCAAAATTGAATTCTTATAAAGAATTTTATCAACAAATTTTTAAGTAATTAAACTTTTTCAACGAATTTAATAAAATTTTTAAGAATAATTACATTTTTCGAGGAATTCGGTTAAAATTATATTGAAAATAATTAAAATTTTGCAATGAGTTTTATTATTCATGAAAATAATTGAATCCTTAAGAAGAATTTTATTTATTTTATTATTTTAGATAATTGAAATTTTGAAGAGAAATTTTTTAAATTTTTGAACACAATTGAATTTCTGCAAGCATTTGTAACTTCTCTAAAATTGAATTTGTTTTAGTGTTTTTAATTAAAATTCTTCTACATATAAATCTATGATTTTTAATAATTAATTAAATATATATTAAAAAATTAAATAATACCAATTATGAATTCTACAAATTTAATTTTTTCCAGTACTTTAATAAAAATCACTGACTTTTCCCTGATTTCCTTGACCAATTCTACTTTCCCTGAGTTTTTCCTGAATTCCCTGATTTCCCTGACCTGTGGCAACCCTGAATAAATATAGTGACAAAGGTCTTGAAAGCAATGCTAGTGTTATTTTTCTCAAAGCTTTCATAAATATTTTGCATGAATGGTATTTTTAGAATTATATAGGTTCCTATACTTTTCTCCGCTCTAGATTATGAACAGTGACCTTAGAGACTTTTTACTCATTATATTCAATTTAAATGATATCCTATTTTGTTATTTGAAAATTTCTCATTTGTATAAGGTGTTGAAATTTTATTTGCGTTCTTTTGCATTTTGTGCAATACTACAATAAAAGCATTTTTTTTGTTTCTAAAATAATAGTGACATTATACTTTTGGTGATTATTTTTAAAGATAATTTGTAAATAATATAATTATAATTGCTTAGACGATAGATTCGGTTTGTTTTATAATCGTAAGCAGGCTTAGACTTTTAAGCCTAGAAATGATTTTACAAACATAAACGAGAAGAATGCGCCAGAGAAAGTCACAAATATTTGTTCATTTCTAAAGCATAATTACTGTTTCCGTTCAGTAAAGTTGTTGTCAACAGTTGCTAACGGTTTATGCTAACAAATATTCAGATTTGCGATTGAATCAGTTACACATTAACTTTCTTAAAACTTTGAAGCGAACGAGTGTCGAAAATATTGTAGAAAGATCAACAACCTGTTCTAGTCTAATTTTGTTCATGCAAGCTATTAATTTACTAGTGAATATTAATTATGCTGTGCAATGCTTTTATAAGCAACATTGCCTTAAGCTTGCGTAACAAAGTTACTTCCAGGCAGAAATAATCAATATTACCTAAATAATCCAAATCTTGCACGGTAATACTAACGCGATATTGCAGCACTTCACTTGTGCTGATTTAGTAAAATTGGGAGAGTGGACCTTTTGATTGAAAAAATAGAAAAACGGTTATCGTGATATAATCATTGTGGTTTAACATGAAATTGTTTCTTAAGTCTTTCGCACTAATTCTAAAACTCCTTTTTGGTAGAATTTTTAAATAATTCCTATTTCTACAATTGACCAAATAATGTGTACTGTTGTGTAACATTATAATTTTATAAATTAAATTTGATATTCTTATACCTTTCCAAAACTGCCTTTTCCAAGGACCATCAAAAAATTAAAATCACTTGATCTTATCAAGTCGCTTTTTCCCATATTGTGAGGTACATCTTTATCTGCAGTCACTGTTGATTTCTTTGTTACTGATGTCTTCTACATTAAACATAATCATTTTTTATTACGAATATCTCTATACTAGTAATATTTGTACTAAAAATTGCAATACCTAACAAGAATCGTAGTATTCAAATCGTTAAGTTACAAAAGGGCAGTTGTTACTTATTTACTAACCCGCATTTTTGATTTTAGCTCCATAAGATCTACTCCTTCTTCCGGCACTGGAACATTGTAAAACTCCCCTTCCTCTTGTGTTAGAAGTTTGAACCATCCTGTTGCTGGAGCCTTGATAAGTTCTGAGATGCCAAATGATAGGCAACCCATAAAATCATTACGTGATGTTCTATCCCAATCCCAAACTTCAATTAACAGTCTTCTGTCTTTATCTTCTGATCGAAGCTCACTAAAATTGACCAGTTTATGTTATAAACATTAATTTCTCAATCAAATTGTAAAAATTAACATAAATTCGGGAAAATACTTACAAGCTGATTGTCTCATTCCATTCTGGGTTTAATGAAGCTTTTACAGTTTTGGTTTTCTTTTTCACACTGTCTGAATCTGGAATAAGTTTTAGTTTAACGTATGGATCTGACAATCCGTTTGGATCCATTGGAATGAGGTTTCTTCCTTGAATAACTGCAAAGAAAAGTTAATGGGACTTTTATAATTAAAACACCTAGAAAGGTTGATTTTATAAGTAATTTACGCATTTTGACTAGAAAGTAAACAGTAACAATAAAATATTAGTTCCCATGGGTAAATAGTTACCTCCTACTGTGAGTTTGTTTCCAACACAAGTGATATGTAATTGTATTCTGCCTCGCCGTTCGGTATGATCACAACCACAGAGATTAGGTACACTCTCCTGACATTTTTTGTGTACATTCATATCACATGCTGATTAAAAAGGAAATAAAAATTATACACAAGTTTGCTTATGCCTTTCCATGAGTAATATATATATATATATGATTAAACAATAAGATGGTTGCAGAATGGATAATCAAATGACTATTTTTTATTACCTGAACATTTGAATCCTTGATGTGCAATGCCATGAAGCATTGACCCACAGTGGTCACAAAAAGTTGGGGTAAGGTATGTAATAACATCCCATTTGTGAGGAGCACTGACAGCCTATAACACATTGTTAACGGATTAGAAATAACAAAATTCATAAGTAGGATTATAATTCTGAGAATGTAAGTTTATAGTATAAAAAAAATAACTTGACAAAATTAAGTACCACATAGCTCGAAATCTTTCATTTAGTTTACCTGAAGCTTAAGAAAACTTAAACGAAGTTATTCTAAATATTACAGCATAAATTACTTACATCAGAATCTGCACCTTTGTCAACTCCGGGACATGTAAACGTAACATATTCGTGACAACGTTTGTGAACCACAAAACTGCAAACTAAGAAATAATATATATCAGTTATTTGTTAGATTATCATAAGGTAGATAATTTTCAAATCAACTATCTTCATGTATACATCTTCATGTATACAACTAAGAGGTATTAAAAAACGTTGCAGCTTAAATTAACACCAAAAAAGATTAAATTAATCCATTTTTTGATTAACTTTTTCCGTGAAAAAAATATCTTAATCAAAACCAAATCATTTTTAAAAAATTTTGAAGAAATAACCCTTCGATGGATTATTTTAATTCTTGATGAATTAAAGCCTTGCCGCTTACTCCTCAATTATTAATTTCGCAATAACAAATTAGCCTGTTCAAATGTTGCCCTATTGAATGGGAAATGGTTGAATGAAGTAGCACTCTTTGTGCACTGGTCCGCCCTCATAATAAACGAGAACGTGCTTGCACTTAAATTCTTCTATTAATAAAATAATTGATAATAAGAGTTTTAAATTTGTTATTTATATGTTTCTGACAATTTTACATAATTTCCTAAAAAGAAATTGTGATTGAATTAAGAATATTAGAATTGAGTTAGTTTTAATTCCTTTAGTAGAAATACGATTGTGGAAAAGCTAATCACATTAAGTTTAGCTGCACTGAAAAAAAAATGATGTATGTGTTTCGCTTTGTAACATAAGACATATGGGCAAATCTACGGAATCGGTCGATTTCACGTTACTTCTCATTTATACTGCTTTAATAATACTATTTAACTCTCGTTTTCGCATGTTCGGAATATCATTTTGATGACTTTTGAAACCAAAAAAGTTTATAAAGTTATAATTTTTTTACTCGAAATTATTCATGAACTTAAACGTCAAATTTCGCAAATTTCATTTGTTACTCTGGGTCTTTTTTTAATTTTAATGTGTATAATATTTTCAGCAAAATACTGAAGAATGCATTACATGTGCTTTTAAAAATGAATATATTTTTCACTTTGTGTTGAAACGTGAGCGACTTTAAATTTTGAGTATTTTTAACGCTAAAAGTATTCTAAACGCTAAAAATTTACTCCAAATGAAACATTTAAAGACGTTAAATATACAATTTTTTAACAACTTTTATTATTAAAATAATCGACCAGAATTTATCTAAAGCTTCAGGAGTCGTCATTTATTTTGTCGTTTTAAATAATGAATTTTTTGACAAAATTATTTTCGTTAGAAGTTTTTAAATATAATTCTTTTAGCATTAAAGAAAAATGAGTCAATTCATTCTTAACATTAAATGCAATAGATAAAATGTGTGCTTGTAACTTAAGAATCTTTATATTTACGACGTTAAATCTTGCAGTTCCGTAGATTCATTTTTATGAAATCTAAAATCCTCAAGAGGCTATTGTGAGATATTATATAATGGGGTATAAAATAATTTTGAAATGTTGTTCAGAATGGAAGAAGATTATAAAACTTCTAAAGGCAGTTTGTCTTCAAATAAGGACCCCACAATAATAAGGTACATATTTTTTTACATTCAATTCAATTCACAATGAAGGTTGAAATCTCAAAAAATAGTTTTCTTGATGTAACATTGTTAGTGTAAAACAGTAAAATTATAACCAATTGCTTCAGGAAACTCACATGGACAGGAAGATAATATCTCAAATTATCACTCTAACACTTGTATCAAATTCAAAATTAGCACAGTTAATAATTTAGTTGATTGCAGTATATAAAGTTATCTGACAAAAGATTTTATCAACAAAATATCAAAATAATTAAAAAATCTTCAAAGTTAAATGATTAACAAACATGTAAATGAGGCATTCTATAATTTTATTTCAAACCGCATATCACCTGCAAATGACTATCGTAGGTAAAGCACTTTTCATGTATAATTTATTTAAAAACAACTGTAAATATAACATGTAAATAATTCCAAAATAATCGTTGGATGGTATAGATACTAGAGAATCTAATCTTTTTTTAACACTCAAAGTTTTTAAATGTAAATTAAACGAAGAAATAATTTTTTAAAAAGAAGTTCTCTATACCATCTTAAAGATTGAGAAATCCTCTATTAAAAGCATTATTTAAATTTTATATTTAAAGCTTTTTAAATAAAATAAATTATATATGAAAAGTGCTCTATCCGCGATAATCAGCATGTGATACGGTTTGAAATAGAATAACGTCTCAAATATAAGATTGAGTAAATTCTTAAAAATTGGTGTTTTTCCGCATGATGAAGTTAGTAGTATGTCATATGTGCTATCAGTATAAATTCAATAATAACAATATTTTATATGTTATAAACAATGCTCTTGGCCTGATTCCGGTTCTATAGCCAAACCAGACTTGATCTAGACCAGAAGTGCGTCGTTTTTTCAATAATGACATCGACTAATTTTACAAAACTGGGTCAATCTTGGTGTCTTGGTCTGAATATATTTCATATATTTCATATATTTCAAATAAATCCAAATATGGTTTAACAGAAAACTTAAAGAAAAAGAAAGATAAACATTAATCTAAACATAAAATATTTCTTTTATTTATGTTATTTATGATAATATGGAACGGCTAATGATAATCACATACGTGTATAAATATAATGATTATTCCTTCATATTTAAGATTTAAGAAAAGAATAACTAAAAAACTTTATTTCATAAAAAATTTGTTTATTTATTATATACAAAAAATCCATTAAACGAAATTGGTTTATGGGGAGTACGTCATAAATCTTGTGATGTATAGAAATTCCTACCTCTCAGCTCCATTAAAAGAAAAATGGCATTGTTAGGTCTATCATTAAGATTGGAAGAAAGGGAGCGAACTTTTATTCTCTCCCTCCTCCAAACGTAAAAAGGCATGTATTTATCTTTTTGTAACTATTGAATTTACTAAAAACAATGGAGGGTAATTTGATCCACAAGGGCTTAGATTTGTACAGAATCTAATAAATTCCTATTAGTATATTTCCATCAATCTAATATATGTAAACTTATTTCTATAAATATTTAAGACTCACCTTGACATTGATAACCTTGTTTTCCGAATCCCCTGAAACAAAAAAGGTGGACAAGTAAAAATTTGTATAAAAAGCAATTCAAGCGAATTTTTTAAATATTAAGATTTTGTGACGTAAATGAATTATAGAAATTAGAGAAAAACATAAAAATTCTAACTTTATGGTGAAAATCTGACCATTTGTCAATTGGCATATTTAAATATTTTTTTGTAAAATAAATATTTAAATTTAGGATGATTTTAAAAATAATAGAACTTAATATCATTCACAACAAATATTTATTATTTATTTATTCATTTACAGGCATTGAGCTCCATTCGTACCTAAAGTACTAAAAGTATTTAACAGTTGTAAAAATAAACTATTCATTTAATTTAATAAAATATTTTATTTAATTACTTAAATTAGTTTCATATAGTTTATTCAATAATTTTTCACATTATATGATTACCTCGAACATTTTTATATTTGTGAACATTTCAAAAAACTATAATTTTTAAATTAGACAGGCAATTTTCCAAATAGTATTAAAAATAATTAATAACCTTATAATTATATATATTTGATACCTAATTTTATAATTTATAAATTAAGGTGGTAAATGAAATTGATAAATAGGAGTAGAAACTTCACACGCACTTTAGCGTGCGTTCTAATTATACACTTAGAGAAAAATTATGTTTCAATCAAATACTCCATTGCTTCCTCATGGAGGAAGTATTATTGTTATACCAAAATTTTTCAAATTCGATTTTTTGACATATCTTTATGTTACTTGATCTCAGAAATTTAAAAATAACATTTTTAAAAAAGTCATTCCGTACGTGTGTGTAAAAATGACATTTTCTTAAATATCTCGAGATTATGAAGAGCTCTAGGGATGAATTAATTTTAAATTGTAGGTCTCATGTGCGGACATAAAATGAGAGTACTTTGAGATAGATTAGTAAAGTTTAACTTATATTTGTTTTTGTATTTTTAATTTCAGTAAAAAACGTAATTCGCCCATAATTTGAAACTTGTTACTAAGGGTTTTTTGGGGTCGCTGATTACGAATCTGAAGTCAGATTTTGAAAATTTTGAAAATTCAAAATGGCGGATCCAATATGGCGGCAGTTTTTTCAAAATTGTTCAAATTTGCATAAAACTTGTTACTTAGGGGTTTTCGGGGTCGCTGCTTACAAATCTGAAGGCAGATTTAAAAAATTCAAAATGGTGACCACGAAAACCCCTGAATAACAAATTTCAAGCGAATTTGAGCAGATTTTTAAAAAATGTTCACTATTTTGAATTTTGAAAATTTTGAAAATCTGACTTTAGATTCGCAATCAGCATAACTCAATTATTTTTTTAAAAATGAATTTAGAAAAACAAAACTTTTCTCAGTTTTCGGGCAAATATTGAAAGGATCAGTCCATTATATTTCACCTGAAGTTGTTGCAGTCTATTTTTAGAAAAATTTTAATGGATAGAATTTGGATAGTATATAAATTTTTGATTATTTGTTCAAAATGACCCAATTTACTTATATTATAATAAATAAAAATTTAATGTAAAAAATTGATTTTAAAACATCTATAAAATTTCGAAACTCAAAAGTTACCTCAAATCCTCTCAATTACATTTTTCTGAGAAGTTTTAAAAGATAAAGATAGATAAAATTTTGAATTTTGTTTTAATGGAAACGTAGAATATATAATTTTCAACAATTTAAACAAATTAAAAGTTGCATTTGAATAAAAACTACAATTTTCTGTCATTAAGAAATATTTTTTATGTTATTTTATCAAAATCGTTTCCTGACAAAAAATTGTAATTATTCAAATGCAACTTTTAATTGTTCAAGATGTTGAAAATAAAATTCTTTAAAGCTTCCATTAAATAGAATTAAATTTAAAATCTAATTTAACTTTTCTATATAAAATAATACGAAATTATGACATTGGACTAACTTTTGTTCCGATTCTTTGTCGGATATACTTCCTTAAGTAGTTTTAATATTTTTTTACATGTTCTGCTGGGACTTTTTAATTTTATAATGCAGAAATATGAGAAATTCTACCTTTAATATTAAACTTCTTAGTATTTTCTGTATTATTTTAATCATCTTTATAACTTTTCAGACGTTACATGAGAAAATTCAAAGTTTGGTTTTAATTTTTAAGTTAGACCTTCTTTTCCGTTTTGTATCAAATTTTGTCGATATGGAGAACGAGATACTTTTTAGTTGAATTCAGTTTAAAAAATCTGCTTTCGAAATGAACTTGAGAAAAAGGTAAGTAGGTTTAAAAAAAACTGAAGCTGGAAAACAAATAAGTCGATATATGAAAGCCAACTACACTTTTATAAAACTACTAAGATTTTAAGTCACAAGTTTTGTTTGAAGGCAAATTTTTCAAATTGAATAAAAAGTAACTCCTTCTCCATCGTTAAAATGGGATAGAAAAGAGAAAAAAGTTTTTTCTTTTTAAAAGTTGATACAAAAGCTTAAATATTAATATGAAATGTAGAATTTTTCATATATTTCATATCTAAAATATCATCAGATCATATAAAAATACATCGAAAGTAATAAATTTTTAAATATTTACAAACTTATTTTTAGAAAAATAATAATTAAAATCTAATTGCTTTTGCACATATATTTAAAATCATTTTTTTTATTTATTTTATTTTGGGCATCTACATCAAATGTTTTAAAAAAATAAGCCGCAACCACTTTATAGGTGAAATAAATAATGGACTGATCCTAAAAAATTTATTTTCTTATATTTGCGCTAAAATTATTATAAAATTTGTTTCGTTCAGTGGTAAAAAATTTTGTCGTTTCGAACTTCAGATACAAATTTTTAAAAATAAATTAAACTTTTATTATTATTATTATAATTAATTTTTTTTAATTATATAATTATTAAATAGTTTCAAATATTATTAAAAGATTCTAAATCAAGAAATTTTATTCCTTTTTTTAAATCTGGATTTTTACAAAAGTTTTGCTCCTGAAAGTATGGCAACCATGCATTGCAATACGGATCTGAAAGTCTACTTTTTATTTTATAATTTCAGATACACCTACAGCAAGACATTTATCAAAATTGAGAAATTTTCTTTCTTGATTGGCTTTCTTCCAAAGAATTAAAATATTACACTTAACGCAATTTCGAACCTAAGTCACTATAAAACACATTAATTTAATATTTTTAGAAAGAATCTAAAAAGTTATGTAATTTCAAAATTACATTAAATTGATTTCAAAGTATTATTAGAAAATATGTTTAAAATCAACTTTTTAAAAATGTATTACATTATATGTAGCATTTTGGTTTAAAATATTTTTTTTTTAATTTTTGGAGCCAATTAATATCTATTAATGAAGCGAAAACTGGCACCCAATTATCAACACCCAATTAATTTTGTAAATTAAATCTTAAATTTAATTATTTTTTACAAAGCTGTAACTCAGTTATCAGCACCTAATTTTTTAAAATTTGATATCGTTTTAAATAAAGAATAACCTTAAATTTCTAAAATTAGGTAGGTGCTGATAACTGGGTGCCAGTTTCCTTCATTATTTATTAAATAAATATAAATTAATTGTGCAACGAAATTATATTAATGACTTTATAGTCTAAAATGTCGAAATATTCTGTTTTTAGTAAATCTCCAAATTTTCTCATGTCTATGATTAGTTTACATTAAAATAAATTTTGTAGGTCAAGAATTAGTAAACATTTGAGCATTAACTATTTAATAAAACATAAAAGTTTTTATGTTTACAATTGAATTTTGTCACTTGACTTTATCTATTAAGTTACGACGAGGAGACTGTTTGATCCCATGTACAATAATAATTAACATAAGATAAAACGAGAAATAGATCGTACGTTTTTTATAGGAGAATCGAGTGAAGTTGAGCGTGTCTAACGATTTTCTCTGGGATTAAATGCAACACGTCATCTAATAGATAAAACTTAATTCTTAAAGAAACCGATTTTTGAAGAAAATTTTTTTTTCTTGATAAAACCGGTTTTTAGATAAAAGTTTGAAGGCCGCACGCAAGAAGCTTATTCTTATAGTGTACATCTTAAATATTCTAAACTGCACCTACTTTTTTACCTATAGCATAAATTTCCGTTATCAATAGGTTAAAATGATGAAAGTTAAAATTTTTAATACTTTTTTTAAGTCACAATAATTTTGATATCAGTTTGGCAAAAATTTCAAATGGAGCACTCAATATGTCAGGAAAGAGTTCAACATCGCAATTAAGATTTTTCGGAAGCGATAAACAATTAAAATTTTCTGATATAAAAATAAGATCTCTTTTATATTCAGAACAAAAATTTTGAAACACTATTTTACATTCGATGGTTTTATTTTATAAAGAAGTGCTTAAAGATCTTTTATGTATTTAATTTTTCCGAACATATCGATGATCTAAAATTAACTTAATTCTTTGCTATATATAGATAATTAAATATTTTTTTAAGGGGAGGAACTAATGGAATTTTAAACCACCGAAAAGGTTTGCATAGGAGTGTTAATCTATTTTCTAATATTGTCAAGGATATAAAATTATTCTATCATAAACATAATGAAACAGAGTTGCCACAAAAATTTAATTTTGTTTTTCCCTGATTTCCAGACAAAATTTTGACTTTTTCCCTGACCCTAAAAAATATTCTGATTTATTCTAAAAATTATTAGATACTCAAAAAAATATTCTGTTACGTTTATTTAAGAATTTTTTTAATAAATAAATACATTTTTTTAATTGTAAAATTATTCGAAAACCAATATGACTTCTATTTTTAAATAAATTTTTAATCATTATTATTTTTCCATAAGAATTAAGATTTTCAAGAATTTCTAATTCAAACCTTCTTGAATTTCAATAACTTCTAATAATATATTAATATATTATAATAAAACATGGAGATATCGATCACTTCGAGTCTTTGTCTCGAAGTGCTCGATTTCTTCATTTTTTATAATAATTAAAGATGACCGAGTGATAAAATAATTATTTTATATTATAAGAATATTCTTACTCTCATTTCTTCAAAACTATTTTTATCATTTCTTTTCAATTATTACTTTCTCGAATTCTCAACTAAAATTCTTATTTAAATCGCAATTTTAAAAAAAAAAATTTTTTGAAAAAGTTCTTTGGGAATTTTTAAATCCAGTTGTTTACAATTCAATTTTATGAAATTTCATCAATTATTCAGAAATTCTTCAATTTAAAAGTAGAAAATAAAAACTTGAAAAAATTTTAAAATAAATTTTAAAAAAATTTAATGAAACTTTTTAAAAAAAATTAATTCTATATACAGAAATCATGAAAAATTCATATTTTCAAAGATTTAAATTTGAAACCTTTTCAAAATTCAATTATTTCTAAAAATTCACGCTTTTGATGCTTTTTATTATTCAATTATTATCTAAAATTTAAATTGAAATTCATTTTTAAATCAATTTTTATTAGAAAATTCTACGAGAATTCAATTATTTAAATACAAATAAAATGCAAATAAATAATTTATTGAATAATTAAATGTTTCTCAAAATTGAATTCTCATAAAGAATTTTATCGACAAATTTTTAAATAATTGAATTCTTCCGATAAATTTTAATAAAATTTGTAAATTCAATTAAAACTGTATTAAAAATAATTGAAATTCTATGATGAGTTTTATTACTTATGGAAATAATTGAAATTCTGCTATGAGTTTTATTATTTATGAAAATAATTGAATTTCTAAGAATAATTTTAATGTTTATGAAAATAATGAAATTATTGCGAAGAAGTTTGTAAAAAAATTTGTAAATAATTGAATTTCTTTTTTTTAATTTTTATTATTTATCATTTTTTTAAATAATTGAATTCTTTTGGAAATTTTTTTAAATAATTGAATTATAATAAAATAAATTTACAAAAAATTTGTAAATAATTGAAATACTATGAAATTTTTATTATTTATAAAAATAATTGAATGTTCGTGTAGAATATTATTAACATTTTTTTTTGTTGAAATAATTGAAGTTTTGTTGGAAAATTTTATTAAAATAGTAGATATTGAAAGTCCTTGAATTGAGGAAAATTTTAGAAAATAATTGAATTTCGGTGAAGAATTCTATTTTTTTTAAAGATAATTGAAATTTTGATGAGAATTTAAAAAAATTTTTGAACATAATTGAATTTTGGAGAAGAATTATATTTTTTTTAAATAATTGAAATTTTAACGAGAATTTAAAAAAAATTGAATTTCTGCAATAATTATTTGTAACTTTTCAAAAATTCAATTTTTTCTAATGTTTTTAAAAAATGTAAAATATCTTATTATTTATGAAAATAATTGAATTATTGCAAATTATAAAAAATTTGTAAATAATTGAATTGCTGCGGAATTTTTATTATTTATGAAAATAATTGAATGTTCGCGTAGAACATTATCAAATATTTTTTTAAATAATTGAATTCTTTTAGAAAATTTGATTAAAATAGTAGATAATAAAAGTTATTGAATTGAGGAAAATTTTTGAAAATTAATGAAATTAGGAAAAGAATCCCATTTTCTTATAAAGATAATTGAAATTTTGAAGAGAATTTTTTTTTGAATTTTTGAATATAATTGAATTTCTTAAATCATTTGTAACTTCTCAAAAATTCAATTTTTTCAGTGTTTTTTTTAATTAAAATTCTTTTATAAATCCATTATTTCTAATAATTAATTAAATATATATAATAAAAAATTGAACTAATTTCAGAAGAATTTGAATTATTAAAATTTTTCATAAATTCAAGTTCTTTAAAATCTTTAATTAAATTCATTAAAAATTGAAATTTTCTAAAATTTCAAATTGAAACCCTTTGAAGTTCATCTATTTATGAAAATTGTAAACGCAACTCTTTTAGGGTTATTCAAGGTTTACTCGAACCCGAAAGTTGAAGAATTCAATTTTTAACTTCTTTTACAATTTTTGTTCTATTTCTCATCAACAATATTTTTTTCAGGTTTTGTCATGGATCTAAAACTAGTCAAAAATTTTGAAAATATTCAAGTTCCAAATAATTTCATGATGGAATATAAATGATATAAATTCCAAAGAATGCAGAACAAATTGACATAGATTTTGATTGGTTGAGATGACGAAAGATGGAGATTTACATATTTAAAATTCAACTTCTTCCATAATTTTTTTTATTGCTGTTCCTCTTTCCTGTTTCTAAATAATCAATCCTATGGATGTTGGAAAATTTTTATGTTTTTCCAAAGAATAAAAATGGCACTTTTGAAAATTGCCATTTTTCATCCACTTTTGTAATAAAATCAGGATAAAATTGTGTGATCACTCCTAAGTATTTCATTGTGGTAACAAATTATGTTCATAGAAATAAAATATTATCTCAAATTAAGTTACCTTCTTTGCTATATATATGTATATAGAGGTATATATTGTTCAGTTCAGCGGTAAATGAATTAGAAATTGATTTGACTTTAGCCAACCTTCAATAGGGATTTATAATATTTATAAAAAATGAAAAATGAAACTCACCAAATAAAATCCTTACAGTGGCTGCAAAATGTTGGCTGCTTGAAAAATCGGGGCATAAAACTGTGGTTTTTGACGACGTAAACATTCTTTTTCTTTAGAGCACCCTTGCGACCCCTTAATTTTTTGGCGAAGGCCGTGCTCGTGTCCGTGGGACCCAAAGAATCTTCGCACGTGTTACTGCTTTCTTCTTCCGCCATTGTGGTTGTCAGATTGGGATTTTTTGAAAAAAAAGAATTCTTCCTAATTTCTAACTGCTCAATACATTCTCGAAGAAGATGTCGTGTTTCTTCTTCCACAAAGATTAACTCATTTAATGCGGATCATTATTTCTCACATACTAACACTGTGTTCGTCATTGCGATTAGGAGTTTCAAATGGAAAGACATCACTTCCCCGCAAGATTTACGTAACAAGATTTTCATTTACAAGTTCTTCATGCTTTTACCCACTTTTTCCCCGTGTGCCACTGACTACTGCATAACCCCTATACAGAATTAGCTGTCACTTTACCACTCCATGCTGTCTCACAGAACGCGACCGATAAAATTAGATTCAAAGCGCAGTAGCTCAGCAGCGCCATTGCTCAACTCTTACCGCGCACTTGGGTATCGACATTTAAAAGGAACATTGCGTTCTTTACGGTACCACATTTTTTCTACATCATGAGAGACCTGAGAGACTTTCTTCTCCGAACAATAAATAATCAAATTCAAATAAAATATTCATTTCAAATGCATTCACTATTTTCATTATTACTATCTGACAATATTCACGAATATTGTCAGACATTCCGCGGGAACATTATTTTCATATTTAGTGTCATTCATATGATTCGAACCATCTCTTTTATATTCCAGCTTTCTAATCATGTCAAACTTTGAAGAAAATTATTTATTAAATATCTCATCTGCCATATTTTTTCCAACTAAAACATGAAGAGACGATACATTTTGTGTGAAAATGTTTTCTTAAATGAAAAAATACAGAGTTTTATCATTAATACTTTGATTCAGTATACCTCTGAAAGAGGAATATTTTCAGTTGTAAAAGATGCACCTGCGAATTGCTTAAATCGCTTGGTTTTCTAGCACACACACTTCCCGCCATTTTAAGTCGTCATGTGACATACTAGTGCTATTTTTTATTTCCAAAATTTGCAATTTTTAAGCCATTATTTTTACTACTTAAAATCAGAACTAATTTTTTTTCAAAGTAAAATTTTCTCAACTGTTCAGTTATATTGTCAATACACTAAATTAAGATCATTAAAATTCGAACAAATTTATCTAGGCACAAATAACTGTTAGTGCCTATATATAGAACAATTCTGCAAATTTATAAAGGAGTTATTTTTTACTATGACTGAAATTTTACTTCAAATAAAAAACAATTCAACGATTCCTAACTAACTAATTAACTTAGTTACGAACTAACTAACATAGTTACTAACTTAATAATTACCATAATAATTACCTTAATAACTAACTTACTAACTAACAATCTAACAAACTTAATTACTAATTAACTTACTAACTAACTTACTTTAATCAGTTACTAACTAGTTACCTTAGTTACGAACTAATATACTAACATTTACTACCTTACTAAGTTAGTAATTAAATAAGTTAGTTAGTTAGCAAGTTAGTTATTAAATTAATAAGTTAGTTAATAAATAAAGTTATTAGTTATTAAGTTTGTAAGATAGTTAGAAAGTTAGTTAGCAAGTTTGTAAGTTAGTTATTTAGTAAGTTAGTTAGTAAGTTCGTTAGTTAGTAACTAAGTTAAGTAAGTAAATTAGTAATTAAGTTTGTAACCCAGTTAGCTAGTTAGTTAGTAAGTTAGTAACTAAGTTAAGTAAGTTAGTCAGTAACTAAATTAAGTAAGTTAGTCAGTAAGTTAGTTAATAAGGTAGTTAGTTAGTAAGTTAGTAAATTAGTTAGTAAGTTTGTGAGTTAGTTAGTAAGGGGCCATCCACATATTACGTCACACTATTTTTGGCCATTTTTAACCCTCCCTTCCCCCATGTCACACTCTATTACATACATTAATGCCATTTTCTCTGCAAGGTGTCACAAATTGTTTGACCTCCCCCTCCCCCTTAAAGTGTGACGTAATATGTGGAGGGCCCCTAATTTAGTTTGTAACTAAGTTAAGTAAGTAAGTTAATTAGTAATTAAGTTTGTAACTTAGTTAGTAAGTTAGTTAATAAATTAGTTAGTAAGTTGGTAAGTTAGTAAGTTCGTCAGTAACTAAGTTAAGTAAGTGAGTTAGATAGTAAGTTAGTTAGTAAGTTAGTTAGTATTAGAGCTTTAGTTAGTATTAGAGCTGTGCAAAATTTGATTTGATTTTGATTTTTGAACTAGGCGATTGAAATGTCGAATTTTGGAAATTCGATCAAGGCGAAAAAATTCGAACAGTTCTGTTCAAATTATTTCGTCCAGCTCTATATAGTATGTTTGTAACCCAATGAGAAATGACTCATGAAATTGACCTTAATTTGAAAGTCAAAATTTCATCAAATTGACGACTTGAATTGACGAAAGTAATGTCCCACATTTTGACCATTTTTTGATAAATTTTAAAATTGAAGAAATTTTGACGACTTATAGATTTAGATTAGTTTTTAATCAAATTTAAAATTGACTGAATTTTTACGATTTAACAATTTAATTTGATAGTAAAATTATATTAATTCTTTTAATTTCAATTTATATACAACTCATCGTTTGTAATAAATAAAAAACGTTTCAAAATATTACATCCATTATTATATCATTGTAATAATATAAAAATATAAGTGTTTCACTTACGAAAGATTATTTAAGATCAAATTTTTTAACGCAATCAAATAACGCAGATGCAAGCAATCCAACCTTTAAATAATTATTATTATAGTTATAATATGCGAACTATTAATTTAATAAGCTGAAAGTTCATTTTTTTAAAATAAATATTTTATTTTTTAAATCAAAAGTTATTAAAAAGTTAAACTTTTTCTAAAAATAACTAATATATAGTTACACTTATTTTATAGTTAGACCTGAATATTAATTTTTTTATTTCCTTATTTCCTAAGTACACGTTTTGATATCAATGTCAATTTGACATCATTTTGACGTCATCTTGCCTTTTGTATGATTTTTAACATAGTTCATAATTTATAAATATTTAGCAAATATTAGCATATAGTTAGTAGATATATAGTTTTTACAAAAAATTTTTAATCGTCAAAATTTCGTCAAAATTTTTTTTTAATTTGATCATTGACAATAATAATAGAAATTGACGTCATTTTGATTGACGATTTCTCACTGGGAAGTTACTTAGTAACTATAAGTTAAGTAAGTAAGTAAGTAAGTAAGTAAGTTAATTAATAATTAAGTTTGTAACTTTGTTAGCTAGTTAGTTAATAAATTAGTAAGTAAGTTAGTTAGTTAGTAAGTTAGAAAGTTAATTAGCTCGTTAGTTAGTAAGTTTGTTTGTCAGTAAGTTAATTCTTCACTAACTGTTGTCCCTGGTGAAGCTAAATTCATCGAATTGTTGACTTGGTGTTTGATTTAAAGTAAAATTTCATTCATAGCAGAAATAACACCAAAATTAATTATTTTAATCCTTTCTGATGTTATTTTAGCACTGTTTGGCAATACCCAAAACCGTTTTTCAATTTGACATTTAATTCATAAAAAAAGTTTCTTAATTAACAATTAGATTATTGCAACCCTATTAATTCGATCAGGTCCAAATTTTGTACACTTACTAAGGGTCCTAAGAGTAGTTAATTCACAGAGTTTTAGAGAATGATTAAATAAAAATTATAATTAGGGACCGTTCATAAATTGAACCCCTTGATGCAAGAACCAGACGCAGCCCATTTAATTTCAATAGTCTATGTCTGGTTCTTGCATCCAGGGGTTCAATTACGTAAGACATTTAGGGGGGAAGGGGGGGTCAGCAAGATCTTACGAAGAATAGGAAAAATGGCGCTAATGTATGTAAAATATCTTACGAGGGGAGAGGGGTCAAATTTTCCAAAAAAAAATGTCTTACGTAATTTATGGACAACCCCTTAAATTATTAAATATTGAAAAATCGTTTGATTTTAATCGTTTTAATTTAATAACTCGTAAACAAATTATTAAAAAAAAGTCGTTCAACCTCTAGTATTCTTAGCTCTTTGTAAGCCCTACAACTTTTAATAATAACTTTTATGTCTAAAATTTTACTAGAAACAGCAATATTGAAAAACGTGAAAAAACTTGTTTTTGTGGACTTAAAAATTTTATATGTAACATACAACGCGCTTGGTCTAAGTTGGTGCAAATTTTTGGGCATTATTTCTAAACCATTAATTTATCAAATGGCGCTATTCCCAATTGGATAGGATTTATGTCACATACTTTCGACAAGGGCGCCTGGACTAATAATAATAATAATAATAATAATAATAATAATAAGCCGATTTTATCGTAGCTCAATAAAACGGCCCTTATTAAAACTCATCTTTTCATTATTATTCATTCACTATTGTAGGAAATATAGTAGAAAAACTAAGATTGACACATGAATGTAACTTTTTAAAATTTTATTTTTTTTTGTAAAACTTCTAATTTTTGTAATAAGGTTGTTAAAACCTTTGAAAACGTTATTAATATTTAAATAACGCTGCTTTTCAGTTTTAAACTTTAATAAAAACTTAACACCTTGTAATAAAAAAGCGAGGAATACGTTTCTTAAATGTAAAGCTGTGGTTTTTATTTTACTTCAATTTTCTATAATGAAACTATATATATTTTTATACTAAATTTAACATACAAACTTTACTATAATTATACTTCAATATAATAATAAGATCTTCTGAACTTATAAATAATGATTTTCACTCAATATTCATGGTAAATTTATAAAAAAAAATTTTTATTTTTACGAAATTTTGGCATTTTTAATTTTAAGTAAAAATTGTTTGTTCTAACGATTATTAGAATTTATTATTAATTTCAACGTAATTTTACATTGACAAAGAAGTGTAATTGTGAAATAAAGCCAAATTAATTGTTAATTAAAAAATTGAAGTGAACGATCGCTTCGAATCAAGGTGATCGTTAACTTCAATTTTTTAATTATTTGACGACTGAGTGATAGAATCATCATTATTATATTAATTGTTAATTGGTTGAAATTTTTAAGAGTTATCCCATTTTATAAGTGGTATTATGAACCATAGGCATGAAAGGGTTAAAAACTTAAAAAATTTGAATGAAACTTGTAACTCGGGTATTTTTTTTGAGATTATTATTAACCCCTTAAGGAGGTTCTATCGCTTGACGAAGCTAGTCAAAACAGTGACAAATATTTAATGATTTGACTCACTTGGTAACGTAAAACGTTTGGCAACGCCGAATTATTTCTAACCTGTGATGAAAATTATCATTTAAATTTCGCGGTCAAATTTAATGTGTATAGTGCATGCAACGTTGCCAAACGTTATAAGTGTTGTTTATATTATCAGATGAAACGTAAATTTTGTTTACAAATTGATTTATTGTAAATCTCACAGGTACCTATTGACAATTGTTTTTACAGATATATAATTATTGCATATCGGTTTAGTATTTAAAAAATTTAGAACAATATCTGTTCATTTAATACTTTGCAGTATGTAAATATATATGACAAATTACTCAATTTCCATAAGACTCAATGTTAAATGTTGAAAACCAAAAATGTTTATAACTTTTTTCATAGGTACCTAGAGGTCACAAAAATTTAACTACGCCTTTATATTAACTTTATCTAGCTGCTCATCAAGTTTTATCAAAATCTGTTCATTAAATCAATTATCGATAGAACCTCCTTAACTGCCATGCAAAGATTTTGGCTGATAAATCTTTGCCATGGGGTTAAGGGGAAATAGGTGAAATAGGTAAACAAACAGAGATTTAAAAATGATTTAATAATTTAAAAAAATTGTCTCTTTTAAATTAGGAAATATATTTATTCTTACAAAAGATGTAAATTTTTTCTGATTAATTATAAACTTACATTATATATAAACTTAACCTATAAATACAATGTTTACAACTTTCGACTTGAAAAAGTCATCGTCAAAATAATTCCAATAAGTCTCATAATTGTTTTAAATGTCATTAAGAAATCTTTGTCGTGGTATTAAGAAATCATGACATAAAGGAACTTTATATATTAAAATATTGTTTAGACTTTAAAGTCGAAATTTTGCTGTATCTTTAAGGCAGATAAACAAAAATTCAACTATTTATTGGACACTTTAAAGTTGTTAGTTTTAAAAAAATATATTATAATACTAATACAAGTTTGTTTAATTGCACTTTAGAAGTCGGCTGTTAGAGTGAAATTACTTTTCTCTTGCATAACACCCCATTTTTGATATTCGCCAACTTTCTTTTCAAAGAAATTAGTTTTTCCTTCTAATGAAATATGTTCCATAAAGTCAAATGGATTTTCAGATTTGTAAACCTGGAATCAGATATATAGTGTGTTAAAAATGTCTATTGTAATTTTCGCTATATATTTATTTAGTAGTAGCGCCTCGTTCGACTTTGTTGCTTCCACCTTTTTCCATTTAACATGTCTCTTTTATTTAATTTTGTATTGTTTATTATAATTCATCTAAAGTTACTTAAATTATTATTTAGTTGTTCTAAAACTAAATTAATTGAAATTAAATAAAATTTGCAAGTCCAATGATATTGTAAGGAGCGACTATAGCTCCATCTTCTAAGTGTATGTGAGTTTTTAAGGTACTATATTTAATTTGATGAGTTCGCCCTTCTATTCACTTTTCACATTATCAATGCTCATTTTCTATTTCGATATTTTTCGATATATTCGATCTTTCCTTGCAATGTCTTTTTTAAGAAAAAAAAAGAGAGAGAGAAAGACTAGCGACATAATTATTCAACATTTAAAGTAGAAATGTGTGCAGAGTTGCAAAAAATTTTTAATTAAAAACTTTTGAAATTCAATAACTTATCAGAATATTATTATAAAACAAGAAGAAATCGAGTCTTCGACTCGGAGTGATCGATTTCTTCATGTTTTATAATTAGAAACGACCCTTAATTTTTAATTAAAATTCCTCTTTAAATCAATTATTTTTAATAATGACTTTTAGATCAAGAATAATGTAAATGTACTACCTATGTAATTAATGTAAAATAAAATAGAATTTTGTACTTACTTTTGGACATCCCAATTCAAGAAGTAGTCTATCGGCAACAAATTCAATGTACTGGCACATCAACTTGCAATTCATGCCGATCATTTCCACCGGTAAAGCATCTGTTAAGAACTCTTGTTCAATAGATACCGCATCCTTAATTATTGATATAACTCGTTCTTTGCTTGGTTTTTGAACAATATGTTTGAACATTAGACATGCAAAATCACAATGTAATCCCTGGAATCAATAAAAATAAAAAATATGTAGAATCATAATCATTCAATTGTCATAAAAAAAATTCGGTATCAATTCCAAAAGTTAAAATTCAATTTTACAAAGTAAATAAAATCTTTATTTAAAATAATTTTTGTCTAGTAATAGAATTAAAAAAAATAATTTTAAATAATTTCAATTTTTTAAGAAAAACAAAATTATTTATCACACCTCATTAGTCAGTATTGATCTAGAGATTTATAGGTAAAATTGAAAAAAATTAGTCAAGATGATAAAGTGTAATTTAATCAGAGAATGGGAATTTGAATAATTGTACTGACCTCATCGCGAGAAATAAGTTCATTACTAAAAGTAAGACCAGGCATTAATCCTCTCTTTTTTAACCAGAAAATTGATGCAAAGCTGCCGCTGAAGAAGATTCCTTCCACTGCCGCGAATGCAATGACGCGTTCGGCAAATGTTGCAGAATCGTGGGCTATCCAGTTTAAGGCCCATTGTGCTTTTTTAGCAACGCAAGGTAAAGTTTCAATAGCATTGAAAAGGAAATCTCTGCAAATACAGAATTTATTTTTTTAAAACAGAAATATTAGATTTTCCAAGTCGAACTTTAAGACCCGCTTACATCATTAACGTTTCCATATAATTTTTTAAAGTTTTATCCAAAAGTCTTCTTTAAATCAATTCTTATAAGAATTCAATTACTTAAATACAAAAATAAACAATTCGAAAATAGTTATTTCTAAATGTCTCTCTTTATTCAGTTTTTGAAATTTGGGTTAAATTCTTCTTATTTTAGATATAATATAGCAAAAGAAAAATACCTCTGATGTATGTCAGCAATGTATGTGTCGATCAGTAGCGAATACATTTCTGAATGAACATTTTCCATGGCCACTTGGAATCCATAGAAACAACGAGCCTCAGTTACTTGAACTTCTTGACTGAAGCGTTCCACCAAATTTTCGTTAACGATACCATCAGATGCGGCGAAAAAGGCCAAAATATGTGAAATGAACTTGCGCTCATCGTCTGTCAATTTACTCCAATCTGACAGATCCTAAAACATATTTTAAATTCTATGTTGTATTGTATTTTTCCTTTTTTGAGTTCAAATTTTTTAACTCAAACATTTTTTTGTCTCTTACCTTGGATAAATCAACTTCTTCAACTGTCCAAAATGAAGCCTCTGCTTTTTTATACATCTGCCAAATATCCGGCCATTGAATAGGAAATACAACAAATCTACGAGGATTTTCTCTAAGTAGGGGTTCCAATTCTATATTGAAGGAATTGTCTTTTAGATTGAGATTCTTCACAGCTTTTGTTGCATCGATCTAAAAGATAATTAAATAAACAAAAATTTTAATATGAGATTTTATGAAATCAATTTTTAAAATTGAAATACAAAAACATATTTATTTCATGATTACTGCTTCGAATTCTTTATAAAATATAACAAAATTGTAGATTTACTTACTTCTGATTTTTTTCCATTTTCTTGAGTGATCCTCGGAGAAATGCAACGTTTCTTTGGGGATAACTGTAAAATGAAAAATATTTTCCTCATGATTTTAATGATTAAACAGTATTAAGTATATGAGCTTTTAAATTTTTTATATAAATTTAACAGAAATAGTAATAATGTTAATTAACCCTTTAACGTCCCCGGAAAGGAAGGAGGTTTTTGGGGTTACTGATTACTAATCTGATGTTACTTTTTCAAAATTCAAAAAGGCGGATTCAATATGGAGGACCACTTTTTATACACAGGAAAAAAAGTCTGACTCCGTATACACCTTAAATTTAGCCTCGAAAATAGGCTGAAAGTAAGACTATTTTTAGTGTGTAAAATTGATGCAATTCGCTTGTTATCAGCGACTTTAAAAACCCCTGACAGGGTGTTTAACAAGGATTCAGAAAATAATTCCCTGACTTTTTACTAATTTTATTTCTGCTTTCTTGGGACAAAAATATGGTAACTGACATATTTAACAATAAATTAATATCTAATGATAGAAACAAACGATAATAAAAATCTTCTAAGTTCTGTTAAATTAAAAAAAATTTTTATTCACAGAAATTTTAATTTTTGTTTACATTTTTAGAAATTTCCCTGACTTTCAATGAAATTCTCTGACATTCCCTGACTTTTCCATGACTTTTTCCTGACTTCTCTAACCGTTCGACACCCTGCCTGAGTAACGAGTTTCATGAAAATCCAAATTGTTTTAAATATTCGTAAATTTTAAAACAATTCCTTATAATTTTGTTAAATAATAGCAAATTTTAGATACGTTCTGATATATTTTGAAAGCCATCTTTTAGGCTATGTTTGCAATGTTTTAAGTGAAAATGCACAAAGCGGATTAACTCCCGATACAAACTTATTATATTTAAATCTTTATTACATTAAAAATATTGAATACAAATTATGTTTAATTTTATTGAACAAACTTCATTTCATTTTATAAAATTAAAAAAGAATCTTTTATTTAAGGTTATAAGATAACAGACATAACCTATAAGACTTAGCTTCTTAAATTCAAATTTTCAAAAACCTTCTTTGATGTTAGGGAATTTTAATTTTTGCGTTAGGTTGAGGCATTAGATCCCCATAAGCGGTAGGGATTTTTCAGATTTTTCTAAAATTGCGTTTTAATATAAGAATATGAAATATTATAAATAAATTAATTAAAAAAATGTAATTATTTTTTCTGTACGTCTCCTATAGAAATAGCCGCAAATATTATTCCATTAATGTCTGCCGATTTTCGGCCACCTACATCTAACCGTAGTAAACACCCCGCCATTGTTGTCTGCCAAGAATCGGTGCCAACTTCGACAGTACTGGGCCAGTTTTCGACCGTTTTTATTTTCACACTTGGGAACTTGAAAAATTTTAAATCTAATTTTAATTTAATAAAATTTGATTCGATTAAAATTTAGATAAATTAAAATTTAAATATATTACCATTCTAATCAACGCTTTACAATTTTGAATTGATAAAAGTTTGAAAAGATAAAAGATTAATTCTAAAATTAATTCTAATCAACGCTTTAAAAATTTTGAATTGATAAAAGTTTGAATCAATAAAAGATGTTTATAAATTAATGAGCCTGAATCAATTGTGGGTTCTGATCAAATAACACAACCGACACTCGACACTCGGACGCACTCTCTAATACTAGTCGTAGCCAGGTAGCAGTAAGCAGTAAGCGGTAGTTGCCGATTTGCGTAGTTTAGGACAGGGACCTAAGCAACACTCTGCATTCGATTCTAAATATATACTTATAACGCTTGTTTATTAGAAATCCCCCCTTTCCCCCTCTCTACAATGTAACGCAATATTACATAAATTATATTCCTTAAAAATAGAGGTTCCAAAATTTATTTTTAAAATTCATTTTAAATTCAAAACTATAATTTATTCATATATCGTGTTAAAAAAATTAAGGCGTACATGGCTGAAGTAATTCAGTGTTACAATTTCGTTAGAAAATCTATAAAAAAAACAATATAAAATATGAATTTATACGTAACGAAATTTATTGTTTAAATTAAATTTTTTGTACGGAAAGAAGAAAGTAGTCAATCATACTCAGCACTGAGTCATAGTTACTAAACAATATGGTGACATTTTCGTTCAACAAAACAAAAAGTAAACTTCACTAAACGGACGTTTAGTTATTAAGACTATCAACTTGATCAGTATCGTCTACGATATGAAATGTCATATCTACGATTCTGCTTACAATTTACCAATGAAAAAATTAACCTCTTTTTTAATAGATATAATATAGTTAAACCTTTCTAAATAATAATTTTGTCAAATGTGATATTAATTATTTTTCTGATAATTTGTTACATATATTATAATTTCTATAATTATTTAGTTTAATAGAGAATATTATAAACTCTATATTTCTTTACAAAATATATTTGTTGCATAATTGAATAAACAGTTAAAAAAAATTTTACAACTATGATAGCAATTACCTATTATTTGTTGTAATAACAAGCATAGATAATAAGTATCATAGCAAATAAAGTTTTGAAAAATAATATTTTATCTCGATTTCCTTTAATTTTTTAATAGGTAGCTTTTTAATTAATTAAATATTTTTTATAGTTAAATTAATAAAATTATAATATAATAATCGTAAACATCCTTATGGTATTTCAAAAAATATTTGAAAACATTTGAGAAATTTAAAATTTTAGAAATAGTTTCAAATTTTATAAAAAAGACCTAGAAAATGTAAAATTGGTTTTGATAGTTTTTAAAAATGCAAATAATCGGCACCAATATGGCTGATACTATTTTGAAAACATAAACTTTAACTAATCTAAAACTTGATTTTTGGGTCGCTGATTACAGATATGAAGTCATCTTTTTAAAACTCAAAATGGCGGATCCAATATGGCGGATAGTTTTTGAAAATTTTAATAAAATTGCTTAAAACTTGATACTCATGATAATGATCATTTTTATTTGAAATATAAAATTAATAATATTAAACAGTTTAAAATTAAAATTTTATTCAGCTTGATTTTTTAAGATTAACAAAAACTTTTAAAGAATGTATATATTTTTGTACTTTGCAAGGTGTCCAATAAAATCACGTTTACTTAAAAAATCATAAATATCCGTAAATTTCAAGCAAATATTGAAACTTGAAATGAAAACTCAATCAATTTATATGTTTGAAGAAAATTTTTCAATTTTTAATTAAAATTCTTCAAAAAATTAATAAGTATTTTTTAAATTAAATACAAAAATACTTTTATGAAATTCAATTATTTTTGAAAAATTGCATTAAAATATTAAAAAAAAACTAATTCTTACAATTGTTTTATCATAATTTTTAAAAATTTTAATTATCTTCGAACAAAGTATATTAAATTTTTTAAAATTTTACTTTTTTAAACAATATTATTATTAAAATTTTTGGGAAATCGTGTTGAAATTCTTCAAAAATATGATTATTTTTATATTTTTCAAAAATTCAATTAATTTTAAAAAATGTTACCACATTTTAATTGTTTAGAAATTATTCAATTGTCAATTAAATAATCCTACCTACATAAATAAATAAATGAAATTTAAATTATGCAGAATTAATTAAGGTTGAATTAAACGGCGTAGAATTATTATTTCTTGACTTTAAAAAAAATCTGATTTTAATTTCTGTAGAATTTTGAATTGTAGTACATATTTAATTGCGTAGAATTTAAAAAAAAATTATTTTACAATTTTTTTTTAAATTTAGTAATTTATTATTTAATTCATTAATTAATTAAATATTTTAATTAAATGAAATATTTTACGATTACTATCTGCAGATGTTTTTTTCGTAGAATTATAATTGTAGAATTTTCTTGTGTAGAGTTTAATTTTCTAAAAATTTATATAAAAAATATCCAATCCAAAGAATTTAGTTGAGTAGAATTTTAAAAAAATCTATTTTTAATCAACTGTTAGATTTAAAAAAAATTTCGTTCTATTTGAACATCGAAAATAGGAAGATAGTAATGAAATTCGAAAAAATAAGATTTTATTATTCAATCAAACATATTTTTTTGTGTTACCAATCAACATAATTTTGTCCCACTACTATTATTATAAGCCATTTAAAAATTTAATTTTATCACATTTTCAAGGTAAACAGGAAAGGAAAATAAAATACTGAATTTATTAGGTAGTATTTCTAATACCGATTTGAGAAATAAATATAATTGAAATTGTTAATTTTAGATCAATTATTTTTATTTTTACAAAATTGTCAATTTCAATTATTCAGTAAATTTATTCTCGGAATTTTGTATATTAACAAATATTTGCTGAAAGAGAAGTATTTTGGATTAGTATTCTGACGCAATAATAGGCGAGAAGTGTTTATTTAGAAAAATTGAATTCAGTGGAAGAGTTAATTTGTTTTCCAGATTAACATAATGTTTTTATCCCCAATGTTTGAAACATATGAATAATTTTTTCTTTCTTAATTGTCCCAATCAAAAATGATAATTTTTCTATTTTCTTTGTGTTAACATTTCTGTGAAATTCAATAAAAATTGTTTTTTTTTATTATTTTATTTATCGAATACTGATTAAAAAATACCGAAATTATTTTATTTATAAAATCCATTTAAAAATAATTTTCATATGATGTTTATTAATTTTAAAGAAATTTTGAACATAAAATTCAATTTTCTTTAAATGGGCTTCATTTTCAATTAATTCTCTTATTTCAGGTAAAATGTGGAAAAAATAGACTAAAAAATAGAATCGAGAACAATTTATGAAAAAATATTCTTTTCGTAAATTTTTCTTTATATATTATTTTCTACTATGACATATTTCAATGAAAATATTCCTTACTATTTTATTTTTTCTTTTTTGAAAAAGTAGACAAAAGAATATTTTTACATAATATAATTAAATATTTTTTTCAATTCTTATTCCTAAAAAAAATTGCTTTATTAATTTTCCATAAATTATAACAAGAAATCTTATAGTCTTGTTATAAAAAATTTATCAGAAAATAAAATGAATGATAATCGAAAAATGCACAAGAGTAACGTGTTACATCCTGCACATTGTCGAAACCAAAATGAATGCAAATACTTGGAGGTAAAACTTACATTTTCTTTGGTAGACATTAAGAGAGCCATTGTAAATGAAAATTCTTTTTTAACTTATATAAATTGAAATAAAAGATTAGTAGTAACTAATACTAACACACAACTTTGCACTTTTCAAGATATTGAAACAAATACTAAAAGGCAGAAACGAAAGTCAATCGAGTGGAAGAGTAAACAAATGGTATTAAAAAAAGAGGTAAATACGACCACATCCGAATTTCCATTGGCAAAAATAAATTACAAGAGTGAGGGAAAGAATTTAACCAATCAACTAGTATGTTTCTGCCGCTAAAATTTACCACGTGTTTGTCACATTTACAATAATATTATTAAAGAGATTATTAATCAAAAGACGCTGAGAAAAATGTGTAGTAAAATAATAAAAAAAATTTTGGAATGAGTTTCTCTCATTTTTATTAATCTACTTACAAGAAAATGTTAATAAATAAATGAAAAACATTATAGTTTTTCCCGCTTACTGATCAGGGATTGGAAAATATATTTATTTAGGTCAAATCATTGGCAGGGTTCAGAAAGATACAGAAGAATGGAAACGCCTACGACAACTGGGACTGCATTCCTCAAGGCGCTCTTGAATAGATGCACCTCTGAAGTGCACCAACGGTTAGCCAATAAGAACTCTCTATTCAAAATATTTCTATTTAAAAGTGTGTTTTTATTGGTTAAACGTTTTCCGCTTTCACGTTTTGACACTTTAAGTCCAATGCACAAAAAAAACTCATGCTTTGCGTTCGCCAACGCAAAGTATGAGTTAGAAAGAGACAGATATATATTTGTTTCCTTTTTTATCACATTTATCACGTTATCACTTTTGTCAAGAAATTAGCGAACAGCGTTTACGTTGTTCGCTAATTTCTTGACAAAAGAATCGAAGGTGTATAAATACTTCCAATATTTTTGTCAAGAAATTCAATTTTGTAAATTTTCATGGCCCTATCACAAAATTTTGTTGATTGTGGAGTAAGAGAGACAGATAAATAAGTCTGTCTCTCTTACTCCAATATAGATTTTCCATTCTGGACTATTTTTACCAAAGGTGTGAATGCTCCATTAACGTAAAAAAAAGTTACTGTAGAAGCACCTGAAAGTTTAACAAGGAACATTTTGTTTCCCATCTATGTGAATTGATCTATGCTCTTTTCAAAAGTTTCACGATATTCCAAAGTTCTTTAAAATGTAAATAAAGGAGGACTTTAAAAACATAAAGAAAAGAAGGAAAACAATTCCTTCTCAAGTTTCTATTTATTTTCTTGATAGAAAAGAAAGAGCATATGGCAATTTTGTTTAATTTATATAGAATCCTTTTAGGAACAGCAGTTGGATTTGCATTTAAACCTTGTATTTTGGACACATTCGGCACAATCGTTCGGGTAGATGGAAAGTCCATGCAACCAACATTAAATCCAGACACAAATAATGTTGATTTCATATTTTTAAATCGCTGGGCAATACGCAATTATGATATTAATCGCGGGGATATTATTACATTCGTATCGCCCAATGCACCAGATAGGCATATAATTAAACGTGTCGTTGGTTTGGCTGGAGATGTTATTAGTACTATAGGTTATAAAACAGAAGTTGTCAAGGTATTGTATTCAATTCTATCTATATTTCGTTTTTACTTTTATTAAACTACTGTCATTGAAAATAAATACCTACCGTAATTATTACTTAGTTATTAGAATAATATTTACTTATTTATTACAATTTTATCTGACAAAATATTTACTTATGTTCCATAATACAATTTCATAAAACATTTTTCTTTTGAAGAAGATATAAACACCCAAAATAAAAACAAATTTTGCAAAATTAAAATTATTCCTAAAATAATAAAAATTTCTTATTGTTCTTGATTTTAATTAAAAGGTGGTTTTACACTGAATAAGAATATTTTACTACCACTAACTAATGTTCATAATAATTTTTTCACGAAACTCCTATTTTTTTTAAGTTTAAAAAATATTTAACAATTTATTGAAATATTTTTTTAGCATACAATTTTTTAAAAGTAGGTATACGATAGTACTTTTTATAAAAATAAAAGGGATCACAGTCCCCTTTTTTACCTTTTATTAAGTTAATTAAAATTCACTAAAACACTTAAAATCATACATTTTCTTTATTTTTCTCCATATTTTTTTTTAAGAAAAACTTGTTATAATTATCATTTTTTGTAAGTTAGAAAAATTATTAGTTTTGCTTGAAGAAAAAAATGTCTACTTTTCACAAAACTTGGAAAAATTTTAATATTTTGAAACATAAAAATCTTTTTATATTATTTCTCAGTCTTTAAACTTAGAAATTTTTTCAAAATAACTTTTACTTCTAAGAAAAATCCAAATTGTTTGGAATTTTTGACCGAATCTATTAATTTCAGAATAAATTTTACAATAAAATTTACTACTATTATAAAATATACTCTGAAAGATTTTTAATAGCAAAATTTACTATGTATTTTCAATTTTTCTTTTTATAAAAATTATTCAAATTTTCCTCGAACATTACAATTAGCTGTTAAATATTCTTATTTTTAGAGTAAATTTTACTATATTTGCAAAAAAAATTCTACTTTTTAGAAAAAAATTGTTTTTAAAAATAGTAGGTAAAAGTTGTTCTGGAAATAACAATTTTTAATTTCAATTGTTTTTTATACAACTAGCAACAATTCGCGCGCTAAAGTGCGCGGCTAACTTCTTACTACCTTTTTTTTAAATAAAATTAGCAATTTTGAGAAATTTATTTATTTATAAATAACAAAATTCTTCTTCAAAGTTCAATTATTTTTATATAAATGTCAAAAAAATTCTTGTCCTAATTTCAATTATTTTCAAAAATAAAATGCTTTTTTCTAATTTCAATGATTTTCAATATCTACTATTTTAATATAAAATTTCCCAAAAATAATTCAATTATTAAAAAAAAAATTTTAATAAAATTGTATGCAAACATTTCATTATTTTCATAAATAATAAAAATTTCACATGAATTCAATTATTTTCATAAAAAATAATTTGAACATTTAGAAAATAATAATTGAATTAAAATGATGAAAATAATTTTAATAAGTTACAGTAACAATATTCTTATAATATAAAATAATGATTTTATTACTTGGTTTAATTTAAAAAAATTGTTTAATTTGAAAAAGGTTTGAATTTGTAATTTTTGAATGTCTTAATTCCTGCGGAAAATCCTGTTCCAGAAATAAGATTAAAAATAGGAATTGTGCAAATATTTTTCTTCTTTTTCAAAAACAAAATATAATAATTTTGTTAAAAAAAATTGTGATTCATAAACAAAAATAATGCAAAATAAATAAATTTTCTATGTCTTAATCACAGTTGTTTAACAATTTGCTAATTTCGTTTAGAAGTAAAGAACAAAAATCTGCATAATTTTAATTTGACAAAATATAATATTTAACAAAATTTTAGTCTTTTAATGAAAAGAAGTAAAAAAAATTCTGATGATACACTCTATCTAAATCTATCTAAAGATAACAAAAAATAAAAATATAAACAAAAGACAACTTCAGGGTGTGAGGGACAGAAAAAGTGAATGAATGAATGAAAGAACATTCAAATTATTATAGTTAATTAATTTATGAATTTTTCGAAAAATGCAATTATTCTTGAAAATTGTATTAAAAATTTTCGAATTAATTCAATTATTTAAGAAAATTTTGATAAATTTGTTCATAAGAATTCAATTTTCAAAAATATTTTATTATTCAATAATTTATTTATTTTTTTATTTAAATAATTGAATTCTCGAAGAACTTTCTAATAAAAATTGATTTATAGTAGAATTTCAGTTAAAATTTTAGATAATTGAATATTAGAAGCTTCGTCAGAAAAATCACAATTTGCATGGGGTCTTCGAATTAATCTGTAATTTGATGAAATTTTTATGTTTGATAAGAAAAATAAATGTACCAAAGAATTTTTGAAAATTTTCAGTATTGTAAAAGTTACGCCATATTGCATTTTTTGTTAAAATTTTTTTTAAATGTTAATATTTCGGTTTGTCTTAAGCATAAAATATTGTTTTTATCTTTGATGCGAAATTTTAATTTATAGAATTAAATGAATTAACCTGACTCGGGGTGATCGATAATTTCAACTTTATTAAATGAATTAAAATTTGTGAAATTTTATCGTAGGTTCCAAATGGCTACTGCTGGGTAGAAGGAGATCATACTGGATTTTCCTTGGACTCCAATTCTTTTGGACCTATTGCCCTTAGTTTACTAATTGGAAAAGCCACTTATATTGTCTGGCCACCAAGTCGATGGCAGCATCTTATTTCTGTCTTGCCATCTCATAGAACTCCTTTAAATTTAACCTGTACAGAAGTGGCCTAAATGAATTACAAAATGAGGGCTGTGTGTTTTGTTAATAAACTATGTTGGGAGCTTCCTGGTACGGTGTTCAGGCACGGATTGACGATTGGTGATGTCGACAATGATGGAGAGAATGAATTAGTCGTCGGTACAGCTGAAGGTTGTCTTTACATTTTTAAGGTAACGTGGTACTTTCAGTTTTTTATTACATATTTAAAGAAACAAATGGTACCTCTAATTCTATTCCTGTGAGAACTATTTAAAAATGTTTTAAAAAATCGTGTTTTCATTCAAATCTGTACATTTTTGAAAGGCACTACTGCAAAAAATTAACATGGAACAATTAGTTACCGTAAAAAGTACTGAGTTATCGGTTTTAAACGAGTCTGTTCAATTTAAAAAAAATTGTCCTCCACATTGGATCGGCCATTTTGAATTTCGAAAAACTAACAATGGATTCGTAGTCAGTGACCTCGAAAACCCCCCGAGTTTTTGGAAACTTATATTATAAAAAGATTAATAAATCTCATCTTCCAATGTTTGACATTGCAGAGAACAGAATTATGGCAAAAGATATCCGGGCTTGGTGTAATATCTTGCTTAACAATTGGCGACATTTTTAATTCTGGAAAGAATGCTCTTGTTGTTATTTGCGATGACGGTTGGGTTCACATTTACTATAATGACCAACCATTAATTCATTCCCTTTTTACTTCTCATTCAAGTTCTTTTGGTGATAATAAATTTGAGACGAGAAAGTCAAGTGGTAAGACATTTTATTTATTTAGTTTCTTTGTAATAAATATTATATATAATGTTCTTGTAAATTGAAAATTCTCGACACTTTTATCACGAATATTTCACATCCATTTGTATATTTTATCTATACCAGTGCTTCATAATATTGACAAATCGATGAGCATATAAATAATTCCATACTTACTGTAGATCCAAATAATAGATGTCGAAAGGAGAAAAATACAGAAAATGAGGAAAAAAGTGGAACGCCGCAGGAAGTTTTTGATTTATCGGAAAAACTATCCTGTGTGCATGTGCAGAGAATTCCGACTAATACAAAAGTAGTGCTCGTAGCGGATATTGATAAAGATGGTCTAAATGAAATGATAATTGGTCTGACCGATCGAGTAGTGCGGTCTTACAGGTGGTCGTGCAGATTAGACTTTGGACCGGGAAATCTTGTAGGTCTTAATAAATGGGAATGTGCTAATCAAATTGGTACGGTGACAATGCAAGTGAGTATCGACAGGGAATTTTGATCGAAATCATGGAAAATTGTTGTTTTCTAAAGTAATTGTGTTTATTCATGAAGTCTAATTTCACTTAAATATTTCAAAATTAATTCAATTTTAAAAGAATTGCGTTTACAATTTTCATAAGTAAATAAGTAGATAAACTTTCAAAGATTTTGATTTAAAATTTTGTAAAATTTCAATTTTAAATGTATTTAATTAGAAATATAAAAGAACTTAGATTTAAAAAAAATTTAAAAACTAAAATTCTTCTGAAATTAGTTACATTTTTTAATATACATTCAACTAGTTTTATTAAAAATAATGGATTTATAGAAGAATTTCAGTTAAAAACACCAAAACAAATTGAATTTTGAAGCAAAATTACAAATAATTGCCGAAATTCAATTATTTCCAAAAATAGCAAAATTCTTTCTCAGAAATTCAATTATTTTCAAAGATTTTAATAAAATTCTTTGCCAAATTTTAATTTTTTTTCAAAAACTTTTCTCAATTAAATGACTTTTTAATATCTAGTACTTAAATAAAAATTCCTAAAAGAATTCAATTAGTTAAAAAATTTAATAAAATTCTACGCAAACATTTAATTATTTTCATAAATAATAAAAATTTCATAGGAATTCAATTATTCGCAAATTATTTTCATATATTATTCAATTATTTTCATAGATAATAACATTTTTTACAGGGATTCAATTATTTTTAATACCTACAATTTTAATGAAATTCATTGAAAAAAGTTATAATTATTAAAAAATTTATTAAAATTTATCAAAGGAATTTAATTATTTCAATAATCTTTGCTACAATTTATTTATTAGAATTTAAGTATTATTTTCAATACATTTTTAATTAAAATTCTTTAAAGAATAAAATTATTTTCAAAAATTTTAATGAAATTCTTTTTGCGTAACAATTTAATTTTTTCAAAATAATTTTAATAAAATTCTTCGCAGAAATCCAATTATGTTTAAAAATTTACAAAAATTCTCGTCAAAATTTCAATTATCTTTATAAATATTAAAAATTTTTCTTCGAAATTCAATTATTTTTACAACTATTAGGGGCCGTCCATAAATTACGTAAGACATTTAGGGGGGAGGGGGGGTCAGCAAGATCTTACGAACAATAGGAAAAATGGCGCTAATGTATGTAAAATATCTTACGAGGGGGGAGGGGGGGGTCAAATTTACCCAAAAAATGTCTTACGTAATTTATGGACAGCCCCTTAATAAAATTTTTGGCAGAATTTCAATTATTTTTAATACAATTATTTTCATGAAATTTGTCGAAAAATGCAATTATTCTTAAAAATTTGATTAAAATTTGTCAAGAGAATTCAAATAATAATGTTTATTTTTATAGTTAAATAATTGAATTCTCGTAAAATTTCCTAATAAATATTGATTTAAAAATGAATTTCAAATTAAAATCTTTGAAAATTTGAACTTTTTATACTTTTAATTAAAAATTAAATATTAGAATTAATTTTTCTCAATAAGTTTAATTTAATTTTTTTTAATTATTTGAAGTTTTTAATTTCTAATATATTTAAATGAAGAATTTCAGAATAATCGAAATTTCGTAAAATTAAATTGTAAACAAAGGAATTTGAAAATTCACAAGGACTTATTACTTATTACTTATAAATTATTTTAAAAAATTGACTTAAAGAAGAATTTTAGTTGAAAATTTTTAGAAATGAATAATCGTAATGATGAAAATAATTTTTGAAGAAGTGACAGTAACAAAGTAGCAAGTTTTAATTATTATAAAACATGAAGAAAGCGATCACTCTGAGTCGAAGACTCGGAGAGATCGATATCTTCATGTTTTATAATAATATTCTTGTTATTGAATTTAAAATTTTCGAATATCTTAATTTCTATAAAAAAAAATAATGATTTTATTTAAAAATCAAGTTATTGATGTTTTCGAAAAATTTTCATTTTAAAAATCTGGAAAAATTCCGTTTTTTAACCTGGAAAACCTGGAAAGTCAGGGAATTTGAAAAGGGCAAAAGCGTGGCAACCCTGTGAATGCAATTTATTTATTAACAAATTATAATTGACTGAGGGAAATGCTATCTTTTAAAGACATAACGATTTTAATGGAATTATTGCAAGTAATCTTGTAATTCTTACCAGTAGTATTGTTTTAAAATCTGCCTCTAAACGAAGAAGATAATAATTTTACCCGTAAAACTTTAAAAATGCGGATTATTAGTTGACAAATGAGAAATAAATGCTGAGTGATTTAATTAAATTTTTAGCACGCAAAAGATGGAACCCCCACGTTGTTGGTTGCTCAACCAGGAGGAACATTTATGCGTATCAACTGTAACCAAGATAATTGTCATGTTGGAGATGAATTGTCTGATTCCAGTAACGAAGCTGCAGCCAGTTGTATTGACTATCAAACTCTTGGCATTCATCGAATGCGCAATGCAAATATATCTACAGAAATACTAGGAGATTTAGAACCAGGTTCGAGTATTCTTCATTTTACTTGACGCTAGGTTTCCTCATCAGTTAAAATTGAATTATATTTTCAATGACTACCTCATGTACCTTTTCTCATGGAAAGTCACATATAATAAAATGAATTAAATAAAATGAAATATAGGTCGAATTGAAATTAAATTTCCAGGAAAAGATGCATTGTCCTTAAAAAAAGATTCTCCATGGCTTCGGTATAAAAGAAAAGTTCAAGGAATTGATCAAATAGATGGAAATACTGTTGGTGGGAACGTGATTCTAGGAGAATATATTTCAATTGGCAATGAGGAACCAATGCATTCAATTTGCGATGACGCACATAATTACTCGAGTAGTACTATTCTAAATAATAATAACATAATAAGCGCAAAAAAGCCTTATCAAGAACCTGACAAGTCTGAGGACGTAAATCAAATGGAAAATTTAAGTGGAAAATCTTATGCTCTGGCAACGTTAGATGGTACAATAATGCTTGTTCGCAATGAGATCATCTTATGGTGCGTATAATATTTATTATTAAGATAAATTTGATGTTTTAAATATATTTTAAAATCTTACTTAGAAAAACGGATTTAACTTTGTTGAAAATATTTTATGGAAAGACGAAGATATTCTTAGGCACTTGTAATTGTGTAGAAAAAGATAAACAATGTTGAACGGAGAAGTAATTAATGAAGTTGTATTTTAAGGTCAATGCAAGTCGATCACCATATCTTTGCCTTATGTCAGTTAGACGTTACAAGAGATGGTGCTGATGAAATTATAGCATGCACATGGGATGGACAGACATATATTCTTGACCAACAAAGAAACAGTGTGCGTTTTCAGTTTGAACAAACTGTAAGAGCATTTTGTACAGGAATGTACCATGTTTCTTCAAAGAGCCCCACACCATCTTTTGTATTCAACACGTTCAACAATAAGGTTTGTTAACATTTCACCAAAGCTATTAAAACCTTTTTGAATGAAGTCAAAATTCCGCCTGCACATTGCATAAAAGTTAAAAATTCACAAATATTTTTTCTTCTTAAGTAGCAAGAATCCAAACAAATAATACAAAGTGTAAACTTTATTTAAAACACAAACAAGTGTTGGTTTACTGAAAGTAAAATGTAATCATAATTTAAAGCGTGTAAGCTTGCTGCAAACTTGATCAAGTTTTTTTATTTTTATTATTTATTCATTTTTTGCAAGTTTTCTGAAAACTTAAATAAAAGGTCAAAGAAGCAAAAGAAAGAAAGAAAAAAAAAGAAAAAACCCTGCCAAAGAAGCAGGGTACAACATGCAAAATAGAATATCTAAAAAAATTTAATATTAAATTTCAGATTTTTCTTTATTATGACATTATTATACCAAGTATGATACTGCAATCTATGAGCCCTTTAGATCAATGGAGCTCAAATGAAAAATATAAAATAGAAAAAATTGTGAATGCTAATGACGATATAAACCAAGAAAAAAACTTAAGGACACTTACAAATTGGCTTTTATATGGAACTCATTAAGCACTGTGGAATATATAGTCAAGAGTCACTAAGATAAAAATTATATCTAAGGGGCCGTCCATAAATTACGTAAGACATTTTTTTGGAAATATTGACCCCTCACCACCATAAGATATTTTACATACTTTAGCGCCATTTATTGAATTGATCGTAAGAAATAGCTAGAACCTCCTCTCCCCTGTCAAAGTCTTAAATAATTTAAGGACGATCCCTGAAACGCAGTGTAATCTCGAGTCATTAAATAAATAAATTTTATTATATTTATATATTATATTTATTATATTTGAAATTATTATTTCTATTATCAAGAAATTTTATTATTCCTGAACAGGCCCAACTTTTTTTGTAAAATATCACACAGATGAATTTGAATATTTAATATAATTTTGAAAATTCATGTTTAACTGTATTAAAAATATGCAATCAAAGTTAACTAGACAAATTCTAAATACTCATTTCATTTTTATTTTCTCACGAATTTTAATTTATTTATGACAAATTTTAAGTTCTGACTGTTACTAAATTGACTCTCTGAAGAGGAAATCCATGGATTTCGAAACGTTGGAGTAACATTAAATGAATCTTTCTCTGCACGGAGAAAACTGGAGTATTCAAGTATCGATCTAACAAGTATTTCTTTTTGAAAAAGAATTAACGCAGTTCTTATTAATGTTAATAGTCGAATAATAAAAAAATTCTTTAGCTTATTTTTAAAAAACAAATAAAATCAGTAGGCAGGTCCATGATACATACACATTAAGAATCGACTATTTTTTACGGTCGGAATAGTTTTATTTTTAAATTTTAAGTCCTGGAACAAATAAAAAATTTTTATAATTAATTTTTATAATTTTTTATAATTAATTAATTTTTTTTTACATACTGTAAACTTTCGAAGTACATTTATGGATTTTTTAATTGGATGTAAACTTTATTTTTTATAAACAATTTACTGTTTATTTTTTAGCAAAAAAAATCGATTAATTTACTCAAAAAGTGCGCCATTTTTACAAAAATGAATATAAAAAAAACCACATGTACTTCCAAAGTTTATATTATATAGATCATGAAATTTCTTTGTTTTCTGTTCCAGGACTTAAACTTTTCAAAAAAAAAAAATTATCCGGCCGTTTTGGTCACAAATAAAATAATATGATTACCAATTTCAAGATTGGTAGTCAGATAATTTGTAAAAATTCAATAATAGTGAATGTAGAACAACTCTTTATAAATATTTTATTTAGTAAAGGAGTCAAAATATTGTCGGTAGGTTGAATCAATAAATTGTATTCGAAAATATTTAGAGCATACCATGTCCATTTTGGGGCCCTTTCCGCTACTAAATTGTCATTTAATAAACTATTTTTTAAATTAAAGCCTATTAAATTGCGCATCGATTCCTTGAGGCCAATTTTTAATACATAATATCTGCAAACTTTTTATTTGTTGGTAAAAATCATAAAAAATATTTTTTTTATACAAGAGATAATTCTTGTAAAATGCACAATATTTATTGGTAAACCAATGTAATTAGTTAAGAAACTTGCCCCAAATATTTTCCTGCAATAGAAAATTAATTACAAAATGTTTCTTATTTGTTATGAACAAATTTAACAAAGAATAAATTTTTTATTCAAATCTTTTATTTTTTGTTTTTGAGTAATGTTTATTTCTTAGAAAATATATTTAATAAGAAAACTTATTAAAATACTAAAAATTAATACCTATAAATTTCATATTTTTTAATAATTTTTTTATTTTTAGTAATGAAAATAATAAATAAATGTAAAATATATGATTTTTTTGGGATGAATTAAAGCTTCTGTTATTAAATAGCATTATAATTAGTTAGCTTTTAGTCTATTTTAAAGTAAAATAATTAAAAACCCATAATCTTATTGTTTAAATAATCTAAATCAACAAATGGATAACTTTGTTAATGTCTCACAATAAGTGTTCATTCTTTTAACAAAATACATCTAGAAAAATCCATTTGAAGTTAAAGTTTCGTAAAACAACTTAATATTATTAAAAAATATAAAATTGATATTAATTTTTAGTATTGTAATTAGTATTCTTATTAAATATATTTTCTAAGAAATAAACATTACTCGGAAACAAAAAATAAAAGATTTGAATCAAAAATTTTTTGTGTTAAATTGTTTATAATAAATAAGAATCATTTTTTAAGTAATTTTTTATTTATTTTTATTTTATTTTTTTATTAAAACATTAGAAAATCTTTTATCTATTATTTATTAAAAATCGGTCTCAAGGAATCGATTAGCAATTTAATAGGCTTTAATTTAAAAAATATGCAATATACTGACTTTTTTTTTTTTAAAATACTTGTAATAAAAAAGGGAATCATAATTGACCAGAAAAAATACGAAATTAGGCGGAGAAGTTTATTTTATTTCTATTTGTTTATAACAATTATTGCTATTTTAAACAAATCATGATCAAAATGTAACAAACGTTTTTTGTTTGTATATTGCTCATACCAAATTTTATAAAAATCTATCAAATAAAACAATAGGGAATTGTTTTTAATAATTTGATGCTTAAAAGTTGTATAAACAATATTTGATACAAAAATACTATAAAATTATTGACATGACATATAAAAATCTCTCCATCGAAAAATTAGTGTCACACTTCAGAAATTTCGAGTCTTCTAAAAAACTGGATGGCATTTTTACTCACGTAACTGATATAAATGTCAAAAACTTACAAGCAAACAACTGGTTATATAGTGAGAGTTATAAGTATAATGAAAATTTAGAACGTTCATATAATATTGACGAATTTAATTTGCAATCTTGTCTATTTTATATCCGTTTTAGTAAAAATTAATATTTAAAAAATTAGTCATTCTAAAGGTACAACAATATGAAAAGTCGTTCAAAAATGGCATCGTTAGGACGGTAATCTTATATTTATTCTACTAGACGACTTTTTATTCTCACGTGACCTATAACTAGTGTTTTAAGAATTTTTCAACAGTATGAGTTTTGAAAAAATCGTAAGTAAAAAAAGCGTATGTAGAATTTACATCTATAGAGTAAGTAGTCTCTATGTATGGATTTTTTAATCAGTCCTTTTCTGATTAAAGTCATAAATGTATTCAAAAGAGATTTTTCAATACAATTTTTAAAGCTTTGTAAATTATAAATATAATGCACATAGTTAAGAAATATTCACAAAATTCTGAAGTTTAATATAAAAGAATTAACACGCTATGATAGATATTAATCTTAATAATGCTGAAAATGCTAAAAGTTCATTTAAAATTGCGATAATTTTGGTTCTATCCGTTCTATCTTGTTGTAGTATATGCAGATTCTTAATTGAAACATTTATCTGAAATTTTAGGATGCATTTGATATTCGAGATTGTTTACTAATGGAAATGAGTTTGAGATAGTTACAAGTTAAATTGATTATAAAGTCTATTGAATTTACTTATTATATTGAGAATTGTAAACAAGGAAATATCTGGGTGAGTAGGGTGGCGCACGCGTTGCAGCAACCCCGCCCTATCGGAGTATATGCCAAGAAAGGTAAATCAGTGAGGACAGTCGCATTTTAACTCGGGAATCGTGTGAAAGGCTGGATGGTTTTGAATTTTCAAAAAGCGGTTTTCATATTTACCGCAATGCTTTTCATTAATAGTAGAAATAATAATTTTCAAGGAGCAATAAGTGGCACTAATGTTCTTAATTTTTTCACAATGTAACTTGATGGAAAATAGAAGAGGAAAGTTGACTATAATCGGAAAATTCGACAAATTCCATTTACATTAATTTTGACATCATATATTATTATATAATACCATATTATAGAAATTCAATCAATATTTCTAAATTGAAGGGAAGAATCAATCGATTTCATGTATTTGATATACTATATAGGAAACGATCTCAGAAGTGGACAACTAAGGACCTACAAATATAAAATAGATTGCTTGATAAAAGTACTCGAGTGTCAATGTGTTACTGCTAAAGTATTGACAGCAAGAATGTTTGTTTCAAAAAAGAAGTGGTGTAAATCTAGTTATCCTTTGGAACCGTCTATTAGTAAACACTATGTAAATTATTAGTGATACTTTTATCATTAATCGAGGTATATTTACCTCTGTAATTTGTAACAATTTTTTAATGCTGAATGCTTTATAATCAAAATAAAAAGAATTGACGAGAGGAATTAACGTTTTAGAAGAAAAATAATCAAAGGAATTCATTTCTATTCTACGAGTTTTTTACACCTTTATATTAAAGATATTAAAGATAAAGATATTAAAGAAAATGTTTATGAATTGAAGAGTATGCTTAGAAACTAGTTTGCAGTAATTGAAAGACAATACAAATAAAAATAAAAAATATTAAGTATTCACTGCCTTCTAATGCTCGTCCATCAAAAATATACACATAAAAAGTATGTAGAAATAAAAAAAAGAAAAAGCATATAAAATATGAAGAATTTATGCATACACGGAATATTTTCAAATGCCATGGTGAATTTATTAAATTTATTAAACGGAGAATTTAATTCCATAAACGATTTAAGTAATTGGAGATGATAACTATGTTCTTTTGAAATATAGTGCCGTTTACACAATGTTACATGTTATAAACATTTAATCGATAAATTTTGAATTTGCTGCAATATAAAATTGTATCCAGTCTGCCAGTAAGAATGCACGGGAGTAGTTCTGAACTTCTATTGGATGCTAGTTGTAGCCAGTGCCAAAATACATTAGATAATTGCCATTTAAAGGACCAAGAACAACGACGTCATAAACTATTAGAATTTGGATTTAATAAATCGAGTCGAAGTCCACCACTGCGTACATTTCGTCAGCGATTTAATTTTTATGCCACCTCTGCTTTGGCTTTGGTTGCAACATCAGGTGGAGCTGCGTTGCTCTTCTTGGTGCCATTATATGTTGATCCGGCAATAAGTACATTAGCTGCTGATTTTTCCCCCGAACCAGTCACGTGCACCACCATTCGAAGAGAGGATCTCGCTGGTTTGTTCAATTGTACCTGGAGTTCATGTAGAGAGGGTTGCACCAGTGATGTGTACAAGTGTACTCATATATACGTAACTTATGATCCATGGTCGAATTCAAGTGTCGCAAACGAGACCGTGACAAACGCGACTTCTTTAATTTCAACTCTATCCACTAGCTCAATGATGAGTATGTAAAACAACACGGTTTCCAAGAGTGGCTGTGAATGTGTGTGAGAGTGTGATGTAGCATGTTTTTTTTGCATGTGTGTATGAACTTAATTAAGGGATACAGGTAGCCGAATACAGAAGGTTTTGCAGGAAAAAATTCAATTTAAACTCTTGCTGATGTTGAATAGCAAAAAGGACAACTTTGTTACTAGGGGGACAGTTCACCATTTCAGGCTTCGCACTCATCTACTAAAACCTACTGTTTACTACTTTTTTTACGTTATGCTATTATTTCGGAACTTTTTTTAGATTTCAGCCACTAAAAGCAACTATTTCTGTTCTTTTTTGAGAATTTCCACTACTTTAAATTCGCTAATACTAGAAATTAAAAAACTATTCTCAAAAATTATAATCCAACAAATTCTTTAAAACGATTCAAATATTTTCAAAGAATATTCAAAATTCAATTATTTTCAATATCAATATAAATACTATAGTATTTTCATCAAATTTTGCAAAAGAATTCAATTATTTAAAAAACAAATTGATAAAATTCAATTATTTTCATAAATAATAAAATTTCTACAGGAATTCAATTAATTTAGAAAAGCATTTTCAAAAAAATCAATTATTTAACCAAATTTGTATACAATTCTTCACAATAAATCAATTACTTTCCCCAAAAATAACATTTTTCATGAAAATTCAATTTTTTAAAAATATTTTTGATAAAATTCCAAGGGGGTCGTCCATATACCACGTGGACAGTTTTTCAAAGATTTTTACCCCCCCCCCCCTCCCCCTTGTGGACACAAAAATACATGGGATCGTGGACATTTTCAAACTTTTTTTACCCCCTCCCTCCCCCTAAAAGTGTCCACGTGGTATATGGACGACCCCAAGCAAGAATTCAATTATTTTCACAAATAAAATTTTTCAGAAGAATTCAATTATTTATAATAAATTTTCCATAATATTTATTATATTTCGAAAAAATTAATTATTTAAAACAATGTTTATAAAATTCTTATGAAGAATTCAATTATTTTTGAAAAATAATAAAATTTTTCAAAGAAATTCAATTCTTGTTGAATATTTTAATAAAATTTTTCGCAATAATTCAATTATTTTAATAAAATTCTTCTCGGAAATTCAAATATTTTTGATAATTTTAATAAAATTCTTTGCAACTATTCAATTATTTTCATAAATATTAAAATTCATCAACGGATTTCAATTATTTTTAATACAATTTTACAGAAATTGCTCAAAAAATATAATTATTCTTAAAAATTTTATTTCAATTCCTCAAAAAAATAAATTATTTGAAAAAAATGTTCTTTTAAAATTTTTTCCAAGAATTCAATTATTTACATAAATAATTCTTCAAAAAAATTCAATTATGTCGATAAATATATTTAACAAAATTTTTCTTGAAAATTCAATTTTTTCACAAATAAAGTTCTCCACAAGAATTCAATAATTTAAATTTTTTTAATAATACCTATTTATTATATTTCGTAAAAATCAATTGTTTAAATCAATGTTTATAAAATTCTTATAAAGAATTCAATTATTTTAAAAAATAACAAAATTCTGAAAAGAAATTCAATTTATTTTAAACATTTCAATTAACATGTTCGCAATAATTCAATTATCTTCAAAAATAACAAAATTCTTCATAGAAATTCAATTTTGTTTAAACATTTTAATAACATTTTTCGCAATAATTCAATTATTTTTATAAATAATAAAATTCTTTCGAGGAATTCAATTATTTTTGAAAATTTCAATAAAATTCTTTGCAATTATTAAACTATTTTTATAAATAATAAATTTCATCGCAAGATTTCAATTATTTTTAATAAAATTTTACAGGAATTGCTCAAAAAATGTAATTATTCTTAAAAATTTTATTTCAATCATTCGAAAAAATCAATTATTTAGAAAAATATTTTTTATAATTTTTTTGAAGAATTCAATTAAGTATTTACAAAAATATTAGAATTTTTCACAGGAATTTAATTATTTTCAAACATTTTAATAAAATTATTCCCGAAAATTCAATTATTTTGAGTCATTTTAATAAAATTCTTTGCAAAATTCAATTATCTTAATATATAACAATATTCATCACAAGACTTCAATTATTCTTAAAAGTAATAAATTTCTTGTTGGAAATTTAATTATAAATTAAATTCTAATAAAATCCTTTGCAAGAATTCAATTATTTTCATAAATGATAAAATACTTTTTAGAAATTCAATTATTTTCAAAAAAACTTTATTAAAATACCACACAAACACTCAATTATTGTCAAAAATTTTAATAGAATTCTTTGTAAAATTTAATTATTTTTAAAAACTTTTCACAATTCAATGATTTTCAATATCTACTATTTTCATAAAATTTCCAAACAGAATTCAATTATTTAAAAAATTTTTGTAAAAATCTTTGCAGGAATTCAATTTGTTTGATGAATAATAAAAATTTCGCAGGAATTCAATGATTTAAATTAGATTTTACATAAAATTAGTCGAAGGAATTCGATTATTTAAAATTTTTTATAAAATTCTTCGCAAAAATTAAATTATATTTTTAAAAATATTAAAATTCTTTCATGAATAATAAAATTCGTTGCAGGAATTGAATTTATTTGCAGGATAAGAAAGAAGTAAATAGTTTTGATGAAAATTAGGAAAAAGTCAAGAAAATAAAATATTGAATAGAAATTTTGTCAGTTTTGTGAAGTTTCTAAAACAAGTTTTTTTGGTCGGCAAGTTTAATTTTTCGATACTTTTTTACTACTCTTTTTTAATTTGAAATCTACTTTTTACTACTTTTTTTCTTCCTCATAGAGGAAGTATTTTAAAATTAATTATCGAGTGCGAAGTCTGTCATTTACAAACCAAATGATGAACAATTTGGTTTGTACCAAGTGGTAAACTGCCCCCCTAGTAACAAATTTCTGCAAACTTTCTCAAAAGTTATTTTGCTATCTGGGATTTGATCCATTTATGTGGTTTATTAATAGATTTCTTTTTTCTCAAAACAACAGACTACTCAATTAAATTACGATGCTAGCAACACGTTAAACTGTTGCTTCCGTTCGTCCGCATCTCTTTTCTTCCTCTAATGCATGCTGGCAACTATTTCGCAACAAATTCTGTAGGGAGATATTTCTTCCCTTGGACTCACATCCTGCACTTTTCTGTGTTTTCTTCTTCTGCCGGATTTTGCTTCTGTACTCGAACACTACATTCTCTTTTATAGGTATATGCACAGTCATTAGTATTCCACTACAAGTCATCACTTGGCATGTCTCTCAACAATAATACACGGAGAACATTCATTCCTCATATTTTACCGATTTTTTCAATAAAGTTGGGATATAGTGGCATAATCATAGGTTTTAATCATTTTTAAATTGCTTTTTTAGTAATAGTGGTTAAAATGTAATGTGATATCTTTATTTCATATTTTTTTCAAGTTTTATCGAACTATTCAGTAAATATAAATATAGCAAACACTTACCTTACGTTTCACCGAACTGTCAGTGAAATTTTTAAGACTAAGTTGAAGTTTTAATTTCGTACTTGAAGCATTGATACAAGTATTGTATAAATCTTATATTTATAAAAATTATAAACCTTCTACATATTTAATGAAATTTCTTTTATAATCTAGATCTTGAAAAATTTCTATTTTTGTCATTTCATCCCAGTTTTATCGAACTAAATTCAGTAAAATCTCAGGAATAAATTTTCTCCCTGTATGAGAACAAACACGAATAATTTTTCAATAAGATACGTTTCTTCAGTGCATGTTTTCAATAATGTTGAAATTGAAGTAAATTGTTTTATAATTTGGAAGAATGACTTTAGAGTGGTTTTTGGAAACTGTGTTAATGAAATATTAAATTTCGCAGCAAATACTTTTGGAATAGAAGCTGTTCTTTTGGTGAACATCAAAGGTTGTGGATATCCACCGTCAGTAGATTGTGAAAATTTCACACGAGAACTGGGTTTTGAGGGTATAAAATTTCCTTGTTATTATAGTCGAGTTAACTTAAGTATAGTAATGGCAGACTACAGTCGTGAAACGCAAGTCGCGACAATTATGCATTTCTTCGCTGCACCTTTCGTTGTGACTTTGGCAACTAGTGTGGCGCTCTGTGTTATGCACTGTGACTGCAGATGCTCCGTACCTTCTCCAAGACAGCCTCCAAGAGATTTAAGGAAACATAAGCTTAATGATCTAAGGTAATATTTTCTTTATTCTTTGTGGAATATAATATTTCAAAACTTATTGAACCTTTTAATTTCCAAAATAGTAATCATGGGTCCCGATAAAAGAATGTTATAATTTTTTTATGATTTGACCACTGAAGAAAAGAAAGGTTTAAAATTAAACCTCTTAATAAAAAAGTAGAATTTCAATTTCTTGTAAGCATTTCATACTTGAGAGAAGATTATGAGTAAATATCCTAATAAATTGTGATATAAAACTTATTAACTTTTGGGCCAATGATTTTTAACTTAGAAAAATTGTAACCGCTTTTTTGATCCAGACTCAAGTAATAAATATATTTACCATTTAAATATCAATGAACAAGAAATGTATTTAATTTTCTGTTTCTAAACATTTTTAGGATACTTTAACTATATGGACGCGCTCCGAAAAAAGTTACCTAAGAAGCAAAAAGTTGTAGGTTATGTTTGAATTTTTTGAAATGAAAATGCCAAAGAAGATCAACTCTCAAAAATTCACTGTTTCAGTCTTCATTGCACCTAAAATAGTTTATAAAACTAGTTTTTAATTTTCCACAATTAAACAAAATCTTCTAATCAAAGTACAAATAACACAAAAATAACCTTAGAATTCTTTGCTTCTTAGGTACCTTTCTTCAGTGCGCGTCACATATTATATAATGTATTAGGTTAATTAATAATTAATTAATAATACATTACTTAATTTAAATTGATTATTGATGGTTTTAAGTTATAAAAAGCCAGATAAAGAAAAATCTATTTTATGTTACAGTGAGCACTCGATAAGCAATCAGGTGGATCGTAAAGAGTTACATTCAGCACTTTGCGAGTGTGGAGAATTTTCCAAGCCCTTGTGACGTCGGGAAGAATTAATTGAAATTACTACAATTACTTTGCAATCCGATCTTTAAAAACAAACCTATCTACTTGCTTTATGCTCACTTTATTTTAGGTTATGTTTACTTTTATAGAAATCTTATAATGCCTTGCGCTATATGCAATCTTAAGGGATTGAATTTGTACTAACAATTTTTAAATATTTTTTACTTTGTGAAAGAAATTCTTTATTATGTACATTAAAAAAAAATGTAATGTATTTACTGTATAAATTAAAAGCATTTTATTTCTTATAGTTAAATGATTTTATAGTATTTTTAAAACTCTGTAATAGGCCATAAATTTTTTAAAAAAGTATTTTTAAATAATTTCATCCTCAATAAAGAAAAATTATCATTTTAATATGGACATAAAACGAAAATAAACTTTATAAAAATAATAAGAAATATGAATTTTTTAACTTATTGTTAGTTTGTAGACACCTATATTTTTACAATATTCAATGGATTTTAACCCTTCATTACAAAAGCAGAAAGAAATTTTAGACTGTTTTGTAAAGAGCGATTTTTTACATTATTCGAAATTGATATTTTTTAAAATTAAATGTTTAGTTGGAAATTTCTGTTGGTGAAGCACGTAAGAATAATTTTATTGTATTTACTGAATTTAGTACAACTCAAGATTCAATTAATTATAATTCGGATATTGATAAGATTAAAGGATTTTTAAGGATTTGAACCTGGATGGAATTATTTTCATTCGTTTGGGAATTAATAATTAAATCACAGACGTTCAAATTCGTCCTGTGAAAATAATATAAGTAATAAAAATAATATTGAAACTAATTAAATCATATTAAAACTAATAAAATCATATTTATGAAATAGACCTAATCTAGTACAATATAATGGATATATTTCAGAACCTTTTTTCCTGTCATCTGGTGTTCCTCAAGAATCCAATTTGGGTCCTCTTTTGTTTTAAATTTATATGAATAATGTATCAATGCACTTAGGCTGCTCTCACCTTCTTTATGCAGATGATGTTAAATTATATACACCTATTTCCTATTTTTAATTTAAACTCTTGTTTATCTCTTCAAGATATAACCTGAACATTTTTAATAATTAGTGTTTTAATAATAAAAATTTTATCTAAATGACACTAAGTGTAAGGTTTTATCTTTTACCAGAAGTTCATCAATTTTGGAATACCAGTATAAAATTAATGATGCTGTGCTTGAGAGGGGATCTTGGAGTTACATTCCTACCAAATTTGTCTTTTAAGGACCACCCCACACTGCACCGAAACTTTCCTAAAAATTTATTAAAGATTTACTTGCAAACTTCGAAGTATTTACTTGCAAAATTTAGTGAAAATTGTGTAAAGATTTAAATGTTCCACTTCAATAAATGTTTATCGTCAAATTTTCCTAAAAATTTAGCTTAAAATTTTTAATTTAAAAAAAAAAAATTTTTCCTCAAAACATCATTTAAAGGAGAAAATAAAAAAATTGGAAAAAATCTATTAGAGAAAAAAAATTGAAAATAAAAAAGTAACTAGGATTTACTTGGATGATAGCAAATAAAAAGGTATTTATATTTAAATAATAAACAATAATTTAACTTTTTACAATTATTGAAATACATTAAGGCGTATAAAATTTAATTTCGCAGTTTTTTTTTAAATAACTGTGTTGTATATTTTCGCTTTTAAATAAATCACATTTTTTGCCAACTAAATTGTTTAATTTTTTTTTTCTTTCAGTCTACGTTCACAAAAACATCGTGATATTTTTTTTTCTATACAAAAATTGGCTTTTCATCGCAAAAATTATTATTATTTTAAAATGTCATTTACACGTCTAGTACGCCGAAGAAATGTAAATATATTAAATTATGCATAACTTTCCTCACGAGATCAAGCAATGACAAAATGAATGAACGCTCATCCTGTCAATGTTTCAATGGTGCTTTTTTTTGAAATTTGTGTACATCATCAAATCATAATATTTTTTTTTCTTCTTAATATGGAACATTGGTCCCTTGTGAAATTTAGAGATTACATACGTTTGCTAAATTATTCAAAGTAGATGTGCTGGATCAAGTTGATAAATGAATTTATACACTTTAAATCATAAAATTTTTTTTCAACGACTATGCTTTTTGGAAATTTTCAATTTACATTTCTTTATTGAAAATTATAATCAACGCTGAAAATATAATAAGAAATATAAAGTATTGCAACTAGAATATTGTTATTACACTATTGACTTTATAATGCTTTACTTGCAGTTTACGAACTTGCTTTTGTGAATAAAACCTCATTCAAAATCGAAACTTTGTGAAAACAGTTCAAGCAACTGATAAGTAAAGTTAGAACAGGGTTGCCACAAAAATTTTATTTTGTTTTTGTTTTACAAAATTTTATTTTTTCCCTGACCCTGAAGAATATTCTGATTCACTCAAAAAATTATTACATACTGAAAAAAATTTTCTATTACATTTCTTTACGAATTTCTTTAATTGTAAAATTATTCGATTTCATCAATAACATTTTTTTGAAATAAATATTTAATCCTTAAAATTTTTTCTATAGGATTTACGATTTTCAAAATGTTTAAATTCAAACCTTTTGAAATTCAACAACTTGTAAGAATATTTTTTTTTTCGATCGATATCTTCATGTTTTATAATAATACTTAAAAAAAAATCTTTACTCAATAATAATCAAAGATGAACGAGAGATAAAATTATTATTTTCTAGAATTGTTAACTAAAATTCTTTTCGAAATCGATTATTTTAAATATTTTTTAAAAAAATTCTTTGACAATTTTCAAATCCATATGTTTACAATTCAATTTTACGAAATTTAGATTATTTGGAAATTTTTCAATTAAATATGTAGATATTGAAAATTATTGAATTGAGGAAGATTTTTGAAAATAATTGAAATTGTGTCAAGAATTTTATGAAAATTTTTTTAAATACATAATTGAATTTCAAAAAATAATTTTATTATTTATAAAGATAATTGAAATTTTGACGAGAATTTTTAAAAAAATTTTTAACATAATTGAATTTCTGCAAACATTTGTAACTTCTCCAAAATTCAATTTTTTAAAATGGTTTTAACTAAAATTCTTCTATAAATCCATTATTTTTAATAATTTAAAAAATTTAACCGATTTCAGAAGAATTTGAATTATTAAAATTTTTCAAAAATCTAAGTTGTTTAACATTTGTAATTAAATTCATTAAAAATTGAAATTTTCTAAAATTTTTAATTAAATTCATTAAAAACATTTCAAATTAAAATCTTTTGTAGTTCATCTATTTATGAAAATTGTAAACGCAACTCTTTTAAAATTCAATTAATTTTTAAATTTTTCAGTAAAATTGTTCATAAAATAATTTTTAAAACATAATTTTATGATGATTCTTGAAGAATTAAGTTATTTAAAAAGAAATTATTGTCAGAAATAGAGAAAATTGAATCAAATTTTTTTCAGTACTTCTAATAAAAATCCCTGACATTTTCCTGATTTGTGGCAACCCTGTAGAAATGACAATCCAAGAATTCCGTGTGTTTTTCGAGGTTTTTCTAAAAAACTGTATTTTATGATTTAAAACTTTTCAAAAAATCGTCGAACAATCAAAATTTTGTAATTTTTCACAATTTCATTTGATAATATTAGCGACAAAAAACACTAAATGAAATCAAAGAAACTTCCACCTACGAAAAAATCGATAACACATACAGAAAAGTTATCGAATTGAACACCAAAAAAAGGCAAAGGAAATACATAAATTTTTGTATATTAAAACACAAGCTTTCTGTTCATAGTCTCGGAATTCTAATTTTTAAGAGGCATATTAATAAATGTCTCTGCTTGTACAAACTAAACTTAAATAATTGTCAATAAAAACTAATAAAATAAGTTTACAAAAATTTACAAAAAAAAAAAATTATTTTAAAAATTCTAAATAGTCCTATTACACTTGTTTCAAATCAACTATAATAGCTTGAGTTAATTTGAAATCCGCACACATAAATTCTTAATTATGTACGGAAAAGGTTACTTAAGATAGTAAATTCGACTATAGTTATTCATTTTAAGTCATTTCTATATGTATATATCGTGAAAGTAAATCATTTTCTAAAATCAATGCCAAAAGCTTTGAAAAATCATGTTACTTAAATAGTAGGGAATTTTAAAATAAAAGGAATTTTTAAAAATTAAATTTCACGTTTCTAAATTAATATTTAATAATTATTTTCTAGAATATCACAATAATTTGCAGTGAAATTGAAAATGTTTGATTTGTAGCGAGTTTGTACCTTTAAAATATAATGAATTTCAGTAGCAGAAAATTGAAGTTCAGCAAAATTATCACTTTGGGTTCTTACTAATTTTTTTCAATAGAAAAATTAAAATTTATATTATATTTTCAAAATTTAGGGCGGCTTAAGAAATAAACTCATAATATCAGGAGTATTTTTACTATATGTTCTTTTTGTAGCCTTAAAATTAAAAAAACTTTACGAGTCATGTTCAATAGAATTCACTAATAATTCTTAAAACTATAAATATTTTTAGGCTTCATCAGTCTCTTTTTTTCTTCCTTGCAGACTTGGATTTTTTCGAAAATTATTATTATCTACTGAGATACAGAATTTAGTTTCAGTTATTATAAATTTTAAATGGCAGATCGATAGAATTTGCTCGATATTTTCTAACTGAAATAACACAGCGTGAGTTTATTTTAAATAAGTCAAAAGTTCCTTCCACCCATGTGGAAGGATTTCCGGTAAATTATTCGTAATTGACTTCCGGAGAGCAAAACATTCGAAAGTCACTTACGAATAATTTTCCAGAAATCTCTTCACACGGGACTTCAAAATTTAAAGTTAAATCACTTGTTAAATACTAAAAATTTTAAACTAACTTTTTTTTTAAACTTAAATTTCTAATTAAAAGCAAAATTTTTCTAAGTCTCCAAATTTAAAAAATCAGATGGCATCATATCTTTCGAGTACTATATCTAATTTTATTTAATATTTGACTTTTTGTAAAAAATTTCATTTTTTAAATATGCGATCAAAAAAAAATTCAAACTAAAACATTTTTTTAATAAAAAATGGAATTAATAAACAATTGGAAAAATAATCCAACAAAAAAAGTTATAAATTATCATAGAAACATCATATGGGGTTTAAAATGCCAGATATATAAAATTGAGTATTTTTTTAGTCGTTACGGATTTAAAAAAATAACTTTTTCTTTTTGATTCATTAATCTTCAATTTTATTTTTGACACCCTCCGACGAAAAGTTATCCTAAAAATCACTTTAAGGTTATGTTTGTACTAATTTTTGCTTAATTAAAAATTTCTGTGCTTAATTTAAAAATGAAATCAATTTCTATCAATTATTTTAGTTTTAAGAAAGATTTAAATATTAGTAGTTCATGTTAAAAGTAAACCCACTTTATGTATTTTGACTTCAAAAATTACAAACATAACCTTAAATTTTTTGTACTTTTCTACGGAGCGCATCACAATTTTATTTTAATTTTACTATTATTTTCCGTTAGAGGTTTGAAAACCTCAACTTCAATTTAAAAGTTTCCTATAAATATGAATTATACAATTAATAATCAGTTCTCAATTTTCTCTACGTTAATCTGGCGTGATCCCAAAATAGAAATGAATTTAAACCCTTCATTAAAACTTTCTGCTAAATATTTCAATAAATTTCCACAGCATCTAATCTTGCCCTGAAAAACATTATTTCATTTTCAGGTCTAACTTCGCTAGGAAATTTCAAAACATTAAAGAATTGCAACTAAATTTCTGCAAAATATTGTGATAAATTTAAATTAACTTTACATGTTGTATTTCTTCTAAAGTAAAAAAATGGCTAATTTTTTTTCGAAATTATTTACTAGTTATCCTCTTTTTTCAAAAAAAAAAAAAGAAAAGACAAAAAAATTATCTATAAATTGCTAATATAATACGAAATAGAAGAAAATTAATTCACAAAAGGAGAATAATAGTGAATTAAATTTCACTTATTTGAACACAAAATGAAAATTAACCGCGCTATCATTAAAAAAGATAACATTTGGCAGTGTAATTTAGGCAGTAACAAGTTATAGTATTCTTTTTAGCAAATTTTGTGTCACTTGATATTGAGACACTTTCGCAGAAATGTATTTTTCTTTACATTTCATATACTTCTTTCTTCTTTCTTTCTTTCAAAATAAAAATAGAAAAGAGAAACGGAGAATTTTCTTTTTACAAAATTTGAGAAACACCTCACAATACACATATACTTGTACATCCATTTTTGACAATGGTTCCCTCTGAGTAATTTAAAAGATTTTTTTCAGAATATAGAATTTTTTTTTAATTATGTAAACTATCAAATTTGGATGTACAGGTATTTCTTTTTACTATAGACCTGGTAACTTATGACGCAATTACATTATACACACGTAAATTGACAAAGTTTGAAAAATTTCTCTAATTATTTACAGAATGAAATGTGAACCGCACTTCTTTTTTTTATATGCAATTAACGAAGAGTCGATACACACATGCTAAAAATACTAGAATTTACATAGTTAAACTATAGGAGTTATTTTTTAATAGCAGTTATTAGTTATTAATAGCGATAAAATATTGAAATAAAAATTAATATTAATAGTTAATCATAAAAAAATGTTTTTTTTTTCAATTACATTCATATACTGGCAGTGATCCTTAGCGGGTATGTGTATATGCATAATATATAATATGTTTATGTCTGAGAATTTCAACACTCTCAAGCTCTACTTTTTTCTTTTTCTTCATTTTTTCTTCTTCTTTTTTTTACCAAATTGGACCTTTTATATACATTTCAAACAAAACTCGATTCTCTTAATGTACAAATATACTTATAAGCTAAAATGTATACACATACTTTATCACAATGTCAAATACCGACGAAAAATTAACGCGCTTATTAAGTAAATGACATTCCATTCACTCTGGAGTAAGAGAATTCGTCGTGCTTTTTGAAATAGTGATTATAACTTTCTTTTCCTTTATTCTTTTTCAATATCATCAGACCACAATGCGTAGTATCAGAAATATATTATTGTAAGTCTGTGCATTTTACTTTATTTGGGATTAACAGTTTTTTTAAACTGTTTTTAATAATTTTTCTTCTCATCTTTTGCGCCAAGTTTTATTGGCAATGAATTTTTTTTTTTTACATGAAAATGTAAGATAAATTTTGTGTATGTTGGTAAAAATAATCTTGAGAAAACTATAACTTAACAATGCAATTAACGCATCAGTAATACTTATCGACATTGCAGAACGAAATTATTAAAAATTTGCACCAACCTTTTCTTAAAAAATACAAAGTAATTTTTAATTTTTTAATAATTTTAATAATTTTTAAATTTTTAATCACAAATATTATACTCTATTCACTTAGGAAATTGATATTTGAACATAAATACACAGGATGAGTTTTTGTTGTAATTATTTAAATTACAGATTTTGGTTATATTTTTTTCTAAAATAATATGATAAATTAAATTTGAATTTCACAAACAATTTTAAAGAAATAAATTAATATTGTTGTATTTGAGAAACTGTTCGCAGTTTGAAGTTAATTTTTGTTTGCTTCTCAACTTTTTTTAATAAATTTTCTTTTTGAATATTTTTAATTTTAAAATTAATGCACTGAAAATTACTAACTTCTTGCAAAGTTTTTTTTATCCAAGAATTTGAAAATAATTAAAGACATTTGAAGAATTTTATTAAAAATTTTTTTAAATAACTGAATTCTTTCGAGAAAATGTAATTACTAATTAAAATTGTATTGAAAATAATTGAATTCTCGCAAAAAATATTATTATTTATAAAAAGAATCAAATTCTTCCAAAGAATGTTATTAAAATTATTTTCAATAATTTAACTTTTAACAAGAATTTTATTAAAAATTTTTTCAAATAATTGAATATTTTCGTGAAATTTTATTAAAATTGTTTTGAAGATAATTGAATTCTTGCGATGAATTTTACTGTCTATACAAATAATTGAATTCTTACAATGAATGTTTTATTAACATTTTTGAAAATCACTTAATTCTTATCAAGAATTTTATTAAAAAATTTTTTTAATAATGATAATAATAATAATAATAATAATAATAATCACTCGAAATGATCCTTAACTTCAACACTTGATTTATTTTTTTTAATAATTTAATTCTTGCGAAAAAGAATAGTTAAGAAGTAAATTTTTTAAATTTTGAATCTGAAATTATTTGAAAATATAAAATTTTTTAATTTGCAAAATAATAAATGGAACAGTAACATTTACTGTAGTAATTAATAATTATTACATTTATTATTATAATCATAAGAATGTAAAGAACAAAAATTATAATTTATTTTTAAAAAATGGTTTGTTTATATTATTTAAATGTTTGTAAATATTTTCATTAATACTTGATATATATACACAGTCTTTGCAAAATTTTCAACAAAATTTTCAAGTTTTTACAATATTTCTTCAAAATTCTTCAAATATCGCAAATTGCTTTAATTTTCTTCAGATTTAAAGAAAAATGTTCCACTCTGTCAACATAAAGTTTTTATTGTTATTTTCAAATATAATTAATCTTAGTTTGTGTATTTTTTTATTAAAATTAAGTATCTCTAACGAAAAAATTATTTTGTTTCATTGTTTTCAAGAAAAGGTCGTTGCAGTTTGAACCTGTTGAAAACTAATCATACTTAATTTTTTAATAATAATTTTTTTTGATAATTACAACAAATAAAATATTCATCCTATGTATTTATGATAAAAAATGAGTTTTCCAAATTTATAGATCATGAAATTTTATATTTTCACTTTTGTAATTGTTTATGAGGATTAGACTCAAAACTACTTTGTAAAAAACGTTTCTTTGAAATTTACTATCACTGTAAAAAAATTTATTAAATTTTGCAGTTGAAAGTGTAAAATTTTACATGTATCTGTAACGAATTTCGTTAAATATCTATGAATAACTGTAATTTTACTGCATTCAGTAAGTTAATAATAATAATAATTTTGAGGTTAGAAAAGCAAAATCTTGTTTAAATCACTTTCATTGTGGGGATAGTACGAAATTGCTATTATATTCTTGTAAAAGTGCGATCGAAGATTGTAAATTTACTTTCGAGATTCGCAATAAAAACCAACGCACAATAGCTTCGCGAGCGTCGTTCGCGAATGCAAAGCATGAATTAGAAAAGGACAGATATATGCATGTGTCCTTTTCTATCTCATGCATCTCGTTCGCGAACCTATTGTGCGTTGATCTTAAAATAAATTTTTAGGTTATATTCAATAAATGTATATATTTCTGTTACAATTTCATATCAGACTTGAATTTTATAATCAAAATGTAAAAATCACTTGTTGGTCCATTGTAACTTTATTATTTTTATCATGGGGAGATTCAACCCTAGGGGGAAACCGCGAAATATTATATGTCACGTGGTGTATCGTTTCTGTTGTACTTTTTCATAAAATTCTTTCGAAAATTAATATTTTTTTTTAGTTCATGACATATAAATAAACATTCGTACGTCACGAACTAAGAAGCGGAAGGACAGCATATGCGCATTTGGATGTAATAAGAATAAAATAAAAAAAAATTTCTGTATTTTATGATTTGAAAATTTCTTTTTCTTTATGCCTAAAAGTGTAAACGTACACTATAAACAAAATCGGTATGTACAGAATAACACGAAGCTTGTAATTAAATATATCGGAATACTTGTCGCAAGTGTAAAAAAAAATTGATTTCGTAACTTTGTTCCATGATAGTAAATTTACATCCTTGGTAATAATAGTTCTCTGAATGCAAGAAACATACATACTCAAAATTTACTATTTCGAATATGGATATTTTTAATTCCTCCGCGAATTGATTTGATTAAAAAAAATTACTAAATAAACAATAGATTAAGTCACGCAATTGATCACTTATTCAAAAAAGTATAAAACTAAATATTTTTCTAGTCACAATTTTACAAAATAAAAAAAAAATCAAACTTTTGGACAAATTGATTTGGTAGTAAACTTAAGACTAATAATTTTTTAACTGAAAATATTTCTTGACATAAACTGCAAGAAGAAAAGATTGAAATTGATACTACTTGGTATTTACAGGTCCTGTTTTGACTCTCTTATTCGAGATGGAAAAAAGAAAGAATTGCAAATAAAAATATGGATTTGGAAAATTCTTCTTGACTGTGAATCCCATTAAGTAAAATGTAACATGACTACAAGTATTTTTTTTGTAATATTTTCGCACTCAATATATTAGATTCACAATGTTCTTATGTCTTGTTGGAAGGCGGTATAATTAAGAAAAGATTGATAATAGTTAGAGGCCAAAGGTTAAAGCTCGTTGGTTCAATGTTCGACGAATTTTCTCGCTTTAGATTTTAATCAGAAGCAATGGGAAAATTCGGAAATGACAAGGAACCAGTTTTAGATATTAATGAATTCCTAAGGCCACTGAAGTGATTATCTCCTGGTAATCGATACTTGTTTTCAAAATCGATTATTTTGAGTTTCTCTATATTCTTTTCTACTTCCGCTACTCTCATTATTCTTTTTGTTGTTGTAACGTTTTATGATGAGGCACTTGCGAAGTGGAGCTCGAATTTCATGAAGTTGCTGGTTTGCATTAGGTTATCTTGATTTGATGAAATTGTCTTTTTTTGATGCAGTCAGCTTTAGGTTCACTATGTATATAAATAAGCAGTACTTTTGTTGTTTGTTCGATACAGTACTAAATAAGTCTTCATTCTTTTTGTTTTTTTTCATGAAATTACGCAATATAGCTGTTTAGGTTCTATCGTACATATTGCTTTTTCTTTTCTTTATTGCCTCTATTTTGTTTGTCCTTTAGTTTTCTTTGCAAATTTCTTTCTTTCTTCTTCTTCTTCTTCTTTTTTTTGTTCTGACATTCATTCGTCGGTTGAGGACTAGAAAACATCGGCAAAATATTTTTCTTTTCTTGCAATTACATAACAGTTAGGTTCTGCTTTATTGAAGTGACATCACGAGTTTTTCATTGGTTTTCGTCCATGTTTTCGCCTTGTTTGTGGTGCTTTATCACTATTAGTAGCAGGATATAGAGCATGATTAATTTCATCGGGACACACTGTAGCCATTTTGCGAATTTCAACTTGTTTTGTTCCTTTTACCTCTGATTCGGATACCCATTCATCAGTTATTCTGAAAGCAAAATATTTTTTTGTAAATAATTAGTTATTTTGAAATGTGCTTCTAAATACCCACTACAAACTGAAAACATCTTAAAATTCAAAAATTGAGAAAACTGTTTGGTGACAGCCACAAATATTTCGTTGTCCCAACTGATTTTTTTGGTTCATGTGGAAGCAACTCAACCGTTTGGTTGGGCTAACTAAAGTTTTTGTTAAACAAGTTTCATTCGGTTTCAATTATATTTATTGGATGAACAAACAAATAAATTTTGAGTGCAGATCCTTCTAGGAAATTCCATAACGTATATTTTTTTTATGAAATTTTTTCCTATATTTTGAATAACAGTTTACAAACTAGATAATTTTGACACTTTTCTTCTTTCTTTTTAATACGTGTACAAAAAATGAAGAAAATTATACTGACTCTTTTATGATTTTTTAAAGTTAATAATTTTTAAGCTACAAAAGAATTTTATAAAAACAGACTTCGCACTCAATAGTTAATTTTTAAAAAGTGGCTTTAAGACTGAAAAAGGTAGTAAAAAAGTATTTATCGAAAAATTAGATTTGACAACTAAAAAACTCGATTCAATCGATTTACAAAAATCACAAAAACTTTATATTCCGTATTTCCTTGCTTTCCATACAAAAATTTGACTTTTTTTTCTTATCTTGGAAATAATTTCAATTCTAAATTTTTATGAAATTCAATTATTTTCCAAAACTTTTAGTCAGAATTCTTGGAAAATTCGATTATGTTTAAAAATAATTATTAAAAGTAAAAAATAAATTTTTTTTAAAGTATAAAATTTATTTCAATTAAATTTGATAAAATTTCTAATTATTTTGAAATTTAAATAAATATTTTTAATTTTAACGAGAATTTAATTATATTTACTAAATTTTAAATACAATTTTTCAAAATTTTAATGTAGAAGCTTCTTGAAATTTAACTATTTCTAAAAATTTACGCTATAATGCTTTTAATATTCAATTGTTATCTAAAGTTTTAACTGAAATTCATTTTTAAATCAATTCTTGTTAGAAAGCTCTACAAGAATTCAATTAATTAAATACAAGAATAAATAATTGATGGATTACTTCATTATTTTTTAAAATTCATTACTTGTACAGAAATTAATCAAATTTTTTAAAAATATTTAATATTTATTAATTTTATTATTTTATTGAATTTTATTATTATAATAAAAATTTAAATAATTAAATTTCAGTGAAAAATTGTATTATTTGTAAAAATAATTTAGTCTTGCGAAAAATTTTATTAAAACTTTTTGTAAATAATAGAATTTTATGAAAAAAAAGAATAATTCAATTATTTCTAACAATTTAATAAAAATTGTATGAATTTTAATATTTATGAAAATAATTTAATTTTCATAAACAAATGATATGAAAATTTTAGAAAATAATTAATTTCTTTCAAAGTATTTTATTTAAAATATTTTTAATTTAATTGGCTTCTTTCAAAAAATTTTTTTGCAAATTGTATTTCAATTAATTGAATTCCTTTGAAAATTGTACTCTATTCTTGACATTGATTGAATTTTTGCAAAGAATTTAATTAATTTTTTTTTTAATATGTAATTAGACTCTTTTGAAAAATTGTATAATAGTAGATTATAAAAATCTTTGAACTTCACCAAAAACATTTAATTATTTGTAAAAATAATTAAATTCTTGTGAAGAATTTTCCAAAAATTTTTGAAAATAATTTAATTTTTTCAAAGTGTTTTATAAAAAAATTTTAAATTGTTTCTAAGAAGAATTTTATTAAAACTTATGAGAATAATTTTTTTATTTCAACTATTAGCGGATTTAAAGTAGTGCAAAAAGGTACTTTTAGTGTCACAAATTTAACAAAACTGGCCAAGTAGTAGCTAATAGTAAAAAAGTAGTAAATACTAAGTTTCAATAGATAAGTGCAAAGCATGTAAAAAAGTAAAAAATAATTAGGTTAAAGATAAATGTCCCAATTGAGAAGCGTTTACCATTTGTACACAGCTGGGTACATAAATGCAAATTAAAACAAAAATCGATTAGAAATACTGTTGGAAATATTCAATTTTAAATTTATAACTTGTATACATTTATAATTATAACTTTTCTACTTTTTATTATCAAAAACTGTTACTTGTAAAAATGATTCTAAAAACTTCTAACTTTTGCTATTTTTTGTATTATATTTGAATTTTCGGAAATATGTTTTTAAAAATATTAAAAATAATTGAATTCTAAAGAATTAGAATGAAAAAATTCTAAGAATTATTTTCAAAACTTTTTTTATATAATTTTTCTTGAAGCTAATTTTTATTAATTTTCATTTTTAAAGTTACACTTGAAGTTGAGAATTGAATTATTTTCAAAATTTGCAATTAAAATTCTTCAAAAATTGATTTTTAAAAATTATAATAATATACTTGAAAAAAATCAATTATTTTTAATTAAATTTGACAAAATTTCAATTATTCCAAATCTTTTTATGTGTATATTTCGAAAATTAAATTAGAAAAATGATTCAAATTTAATTTTTAAAAGATTTGTCAGCAGTTATTTTTGGCATGCCTTATTTTTCACACTATAAAAATCGAAATAAGTTGTCTTTTATACTAAAAATGTGGTATTTTGTGCAATGTTTGAAAGAAAGGTCTGAAAAAGTAGCAAATTTCCAAAATAAGTCGAAAAAAGTAGCATTTTTTGAAAATAGTGGAAAAAAGTAAAAAAAAGTCATAATATCCAAAGCTTGCTTTAGTTAAACAATAATAAATTAATATTTCTATTTTGAATACTTACATGCCATGAGGGTACCACCGTAAGAGAAATTTCATCTTTCCATCTTTCTCAACTCTTCTGGCTAAAATCTGCAAAATAAAATGTTTTATTTTAATCCTCATTACATTGAAAGTTGATTTTCAAAAATTGTAATAAAATAGAGTCGCATAAATAACTACAAACTTCATTTGCTAGGTGTTTTTGTTTTGTTTTCTTTTTTTTTTTTGCTTTCGTAAAATTTGCATTTAAAGCAATTTAAAGTAATTTTTGTTTTAATAGAATTGGAATTAACTTGAATTTCTACTTAACAGAATTAGTAAGCTATAAACTTTCTATTTGACTCAACTTTTAATTAACAAATTTTTTATTTAGTCCTCTTTTTGTTTCAAAGAATTTTTATTTAGAGAAATTCTTCATTAACGGAATTGTAATTTTTGTTTCTAAAATTATCACATCAGCAAATTTTTATTTTCACGAAAAGAGTATGTAAAGTCATTTATAATCAAGAGTAGGTAAAGTTATTTACTTACCTGACTTGTTAAAGTCATAGAGTTTCCTGGAGTTTCAGCAAGTTTTCCTTGAGTTCTGGATTTTGCTAATTCCAGTAGACGATGCTGAAGTCCTTCCATTATGCCGGTATCAAAATAATCGAATAGTCTTGCTGCAATAGAAAAAGAAATTAATGTTATTAATTGTTTCACCTCTTTCGAAATTACATTTCTTAAATATAACGATTTTAGTGTTTAGGAAAAATTGCCAACGTCTACAAACAAGATCAGCAACAATTTTACAAAATTTTTATTCGTTAACACTTTAATCATTCGATATTCAATTTGACATGATCTAATTATCTTATTATATAATTATCTGGAGTTAATCATTTAATTAAGTCATTAAAAATTGCCAATTTTATTGGTAATTAATTAATTAAATTAACTATTATTAAATACAAAATTTAATATAATTTTCTCTCCGTGATACTTCTTTCATATTTGTAGAGCAATGTTCCACAAACCTTTCTTAAAAATTTTCCAAAATTTTTGCGTTATGTCCGTTTCAGAATTTTGAAACACTTTAATATATTTTCGATATTCGTACTCTGTGCCTATGAGAAATCACAAAAAGATGCTCACAACCTGCTTTTAATAGACTTTTAGACTAATTGTCTGTGATTGGTTTCCTGGAAAGATTGTTTCCAAAAAAGGGATACGTTCATTAAATTGTTTCTATTAAAATGTCGAGGCTGTAGTATACCTTCAAAGAACATTTTTTCTTTTACTTTGATTGGCTTTCCCCACAGAGAACTTCCAAAAGTTTCAATTTTTCGGAAATTTTCTACGAGTACAGCCAATGAAAATCTCTACACATATACTCGAAAACGGAGAGGTATACAACCGCCTTTATTATCGCACTTTGTCGGTTTGTTTTTAGGCTGTGTTTACATAGTGTTTACATGAGCGAAGGCCAAAGCAGAATAGAAACGTACATTCTCTACAGCTGACAATTAAGTGAAATTATCCTTTAACAGAATATTATATAATTCAGAATTTAAATTTAAGAGAATAGACATCACGTAAATTATTTAACACAAAAACTGAATTATCATATCGACAAACTTACAACCTTAATAGAATTGATATTTAACCATTTTCAATTAACACACCTCACAAGTATTATTTTTGCACAAATTTCTAAGGGGAGGGTACACCTGTATTTTTAACTGTATCAAGAAAATAATTCAAATATTCCATAAAATTATTTTTAAAGTAATTTTCTGTGAGGAATTCAATGATCATAAAATAAAATCGGTTAGGAAATATTTTTACAATTTTTGAATTTTTATTTTTCTTAAAAATTGGTAGCTTTTGAAATATATGCGTAATTTTGTAAAAAAATATGTTTTTGTATCCACAAAAAAATTGCGAAATAAAAAAATTAATTTTTACAATTTTTTAAGCATTTTTTTTAAAAATAAAATTTTATTTTTAAGCTGAAAATGCAAAAAAAAACTATTATTTTATATTCAATTTTTTTTTAAATATAATTTCATTATTTTTATAACTAATTTCAGATCATAATTTTTTAATATTTTTATTTTTTACATATAATAATAATGGTATTTTTTAAAAGTATTTTCAGCCTAAAAACAAAGTTTTATTTAAAAAAAAAATATTCTAAATTGTAAAAATCAGTTTTTTCATTTGGTAATTTTTTTGTCAATTTAAAAACATATTTTCTACAAAATTACGCATGGATTTTAAAATCAACCAATTTTTAAGAAAAATAAAAATTCCAAAAGAGTCAAAATATTTTCCTCAAAATAAAATTTCGGATCTAAAATGTGCGGATATTTTAAAAACTGAATTGATTTACTTGAAATATCAGGGTTCCTACAGAAATCCGAACTTTAAATTCCATACCTTTTCCATGATTTCCAGGTCAAATTTTTAGAAAATTCCATTGGAATTTTAAATTTAATTTCCACGTCATATAAATTTCCAATTGTATTTCTATTGAAGAGAAAAAAAAGAAAACAGAAAAAATTTAGAAACTTAAAAATTCTAGGCCTTTTCCATGATTTCCCTGATTTCCAGAAGCCTTGTAAGAATCCCATACCATTTCCATGATTTACAAATTTTGTAGGGACCCTTAAAATTTTTTCTTCTCTTTAATGGCATTTAGCTTCAATATTTTTGGGCTCTTCAAAAAAACTTTACTTATTTAATAGTCTCCACCCTTTGGTAAAAAATCTAAAATTATTAAATATTATCAAAAATTCGAAAAACCGAATTTCTTAAAATTCAACACTTTTTTTTCTCCTTTATGGCATTTAGCTTCACTATTTTTGTGCTCTTCAAAAATACTTTACTTATTTAATAATCTTAAACATTTGATAAAAAATTTAAATTTATTAAAAATTATGAAAAATTCAAAAACCCGAATTTCTTCAAATTCAACACTTTTTCTTCTATTTTATGGCATTTAGCTTCATTATTTTTGTGCTCTTGGAAAATACTTTACTTATTTAATGGTCTCTATTCTTTGGTAAAAAATTTAAAATTTTTAAAAATTATGAAAAATTCGAAAAACCGAATTTTTTAAAATTTAAAACTTTTTCTTCTCTTTTATGGCATTTAACTTCATTATTTTTGGGCTGTTCAAAAATACTTCACTTATTTAATAGTCTCCACACTTTGGTTAAAATTTTTAAATTATTAAAAATTATCAAAAATTCGAAAAACCGAATTTCTTAAAATTCAAAATTTTTTCTTCTCTTTTAATGCATTTAGCTTCAATATTTTTGGGCTCTTCAAAAATACTTCACTTATTTCATAGTCTCCACCCTTTGGTAAAAAAATTTCTAATTCTATTGAAAAGAAAAAAGGGAAAATTTAGAAATTTTTAAAAATTCCAGGCCGTTTCCATGATTTCCCTGATTTCCAGAAGCCTTTTAAAAATCCCATACCATTTTCATGATTTCCAGATTCTGTAGGAACCCTGAATATGGTACTCGGGGGTTTTCGGGGTCGCTGACTACAAATCTGGTGCTAGATTTCAAAAATCCAAAATGGCAGACCCAATATGGCGGAATAAGTTCAAAATCTAATTGGATTTGCTTGAAATTTAGTACTTAAGGTTTTGTGAAGTTGCTGATTGCAAATGCAAGCTTAACAAGATTTCACGGTAAGTTTGCCGCAAGCTTGTTGTTAGTTAGCTCTCGTGTTATGTATTCAAAAAGACGTCACGGTTTTGCTGCGTATGTTAAGGAAAGTTGATAGTATGTAGGACCTTGAAATTAGAGGCGCTCTTTTGTACTACAATCTACAAGTAAAGTTATTCTTCCTGTTTCTGGTCTACCTGTTCTCGTAGGTCGGGAAAAATCCCTATTAAAATTTCACTTATTCAGCCCTGACCTTCAATTTTTGTTTTCATGATATAATCACAGAGGATTATGGGAATTGTAATTTTTTCCAACTTTGATTATTGTAAATAAAAGTTTGTAACGATTTGTCACTGTCTTATCAGTGTATAATGTACCTAGGATTATACCAGAATATCTACTTAAAACTTTATAAATTTCTAATCCACGTACAAGATACAAGTTCCTGAAGATTATAGTTATCGATTTTGACGACATAAAATGGAATGGCAGTTTTATTTTCGGTATATCGGAATTCTTTAAATCGACTTTAAAAGTCGATTAGCTTTATCCAAAATAATTTGGTTTCGCCTTATATGTAATTCGTTTCTTAAAATCCTTAATTCTTTAAAGTGCATCAGGAATTTGTCTAACATCTATTTCGTAAATAATTCTAAAGAAATTTTTCAAAACGCGTACAATAAACAACAATGTTTGAAAAAAATTTAAGATTTTCAAAAACCAACATAATTTTTCTCCTTTGAAATTATTTATCATAGAGTAATTTCTATTTATAAGGGTTTTCTCAAAAATTGTAATATGAAGTTAAAAATTTAAGAATATTAATAAAACTGGAATAATTAGCACATAATTTTAGCACAATTGATACTTTTATTTTTGATAGAAGGGCTGCTAGCTGGCATACCTAAGTTGGGACACTTTCAAGAAATTTAAACACAACATTTTTCCCCTATTTCGTAAATAATTATAAAGAACTCGTACTGAAAATAAGGATTTTAAGAAAATTTACGAATTACATACAATTTCATACAATTAAATAAGCGAAATTGAATCAAGTTCCTGTTCTTAGCTTTTGGAGACTTTAAATCACATTTTATCAATAGACTTTAAGAACCAATTAATAAGTTTAATGTTGTGGAGAACAAAATAGAAAAAAATAAAATTTCAAATTTAAATTTAGAATTAATTTTAGATTTAAGAAATGAAATTGAAATAAAACATTCAGTAGGGGTAAATTCTTCAGATCAGTTTCAGATCAGAATTATAAAATATAATATCCTGAATTATAATGTACAATATAATCCTGAATGACATTGTCCTCAGTAAAAGTTTCATCAGCATTGAAGTATAAGTACCCAATATCATTTGTATATCTAATGGCGTGAATCGATTCCATGAGATTCGAGGGCATCACCAAAAAAGGGGATAGTTTTTTAAAATTCAATGAAACGAGTCCAATATGGAGGAAGATTTTTTAAAAATTGATTGACTGAAATTGATTGATTGACATAAGTCTGTCCTTGTTTAATGGGGCTGACTCCGTTTACACCTTAAATTCAGCCTCGAAAACAGGCTAAAAGTAAAACTTTTTTTTTAGTGTGTAATAATTTTTGAAAAAGTTCTTTGAAAATTTTCAAATTTATTTGTTTACAATATTCAACTTTACGAAATTTCATCGATTATTCGGAAATTCTTCAATGGTATATTAGAAAATAAAAACTTGAAATAATTTCAAAAAAAGTTTAGTTTAACTTTTTCAAAAAATATTAATTTTGCAGAATTGTTAGTTAAAAGTATGAAAAATTCAGATTTTCAAAGATTTTAATTTGAAACCTTTTCAAAATTCAGTTACTTCTAAAAATTCACGCTATAATACGTCTTTTAATATTCAATTATTATTTTAAATTTTAACTGAAATTCATTTTTAAATCAATTTTCATCAGAAAATTATACGAAAATTCAATTATTTAAATACAAAAATAAATAATCTATAAAATAATTTTATCAATAAATTTTTAAATAATTGAATTCATTCGATGAATTTTAATAAAATTTTTAAGAATAATAACATTTTTCGAGAAATTTAATGAAAATTGTTTTAAAAATAATTGAAATTCTACAATGAATTTGATTATTTATGAAAATAATGAAATGTTTGCTTAGAATTTTATTATCATTTTTTTTTATAAATAATTGAATTCTTTTGTAAAATTTTATTAAAATAGGTATTGAAAATAATTGAATTGAATAAAATTTTTGGAAATAATTGAAATTTTGACAAGAATGTTATTACAATTTTTGAAAATAATTAAATTTTAGATAAGAATTTTATTATTTACAAAGATAATTGACATTTTGACGAGAATTTTTTTTTAAATTTTTGAGCGTAATTGAATTTCTGCGAAGAATTTTATTACTTTGGAAAATAATCGAATTTCTGCAATCATTTGTAACTTCTCCAAAAATAAATTTTTTTTTTAGTGTTTTTAACAAAAAATCTTTTGTAAATACATTTAATAATTAATTAAATATATATTAAAAAATTAAACTAATTTCAGAGAAATTTGAATTATTAAAATTTTTCAAAAATCAATGAATTTTGAATTATTGAAGTAAAATTATTCATTAAAAATAATTTATAAGCAATAATTTTATGATAGTTCTTCAAGAATTAAGTTATTTAAAAAGAAATTATTGTCAAAAAATAGTAAAAATTGATGGTTTTGTATTCGAAATTAAAAATTAAATTTTTTCTAGTAGTTTTAATAAAAATTTCCTGACTTTTCTCTGACTTCCCTGATCTGTGGGAGGACTTTCCTGTTCTAATAGGTTGACGTAAAGGAGTTGCACTCCATTTCATTTGGCTTTTTGAAATAAACATTGAGTCAACAGAAGAAGTTACAGTTTTTTCGTATTCACTATCACTTTGCGTATCGGAATCACTTAGCTCTGAGTTATTGTTATCGTATTCAATATCAGAAATATCTGAGTCACTTTCGATTTCTAGATCATTTTCAAAAGTTGTACTATTTTCATTTGCACTTCTTGTGAAATGATGTAAATTCGCCATATCTTCAAGCAGTAGATTCGTGAAGGAGAATGTACAAACTAAATTGGATTTACGTGTGTGTGAAGATAAAATCCTACAAATATCTTACTTTAATTATTATTCAGTAATACGGCAGAAATTAAACTTACCAGACCAAGGCTGTCTTCTGTATCTGAGTCGCTTGCCATTTCTTCTCATCATCTTGCCACTGTTGTCAATGCTGCGCCTACTGCTGTTATTACTTGTTTCTGGTTGATTGAAATGGCCATTGACGTGTCTTTCCAAAGCAATCTAGAAATAAAATATTCAATTAATAGAAAACATTCTATACGAAAACATTCAACAAGCGAACGGTTTTTAGTTATTAAAAATACTATACCTGAGAACTGAATCTACTTCCGCAGCCATCAACTATACATCGGAATGGTTTGTTGCCTCCATGTGACATCACGTGTCTCTCCAACCATCTTCGCGAGCAGGATGTTCTTCCTTTTACCTTACAACCTTGCCAGTGACACACGAAATTATCGCCTCCAGTTTGCGTGTTGATGTGCGCGACCTAGGAAAATCAAAAAATTTATGTTATACTAACATTAATCTATTACCGCTCGCGCTGAGAGAAAAAGTCCCACTAAAATTTCAATCGAAATTACAATTCACATCAAAGTGTTTTGTTTCTACGGACCAAAAATATTCCAATTTCGTAACAATCAGAAGATTAATAATCGATTATCATGATATAAAGATACGCGGCAATTAGTGAGAGTTTTTCCCAACGCGCGATTATTGAGAGTTTGGTGATTATTTAGACTTCGGCAACTGTCGAGTGGTATTCCTCGAATCTCGCCTAGCAGGAGAGGGCCTAGTAATGATGGCGGCGATGTAAATATAGTAACATATGACAGATAACAATTTATTTTCTTATTAATTTATCCAACTATTTCATGAAATTTCATCACATAATTTTACTTCATCTTTCTGTTTATTAAACTATTAGCAAAATAGAAAATTCTAATAAGCTTACACACGGAGAGAATAATATATTAAATCTTGTAAAAATATCTTACAATTTGGGGAAAAAGTGCAACAAACCGAAATTTTGATATAAAAAATACTGAACTGTGTAAGAAATGATATGAAATTTAGTAGTTATATTAAAATTTAACTAAAATTCTTTAATATTTGATATGATTGTACTGAATTTCACAGAATTTATTTATCAAAATTTCGCTTTGTCGCATTCTTTTCCCAAATTGTAGAATACTTTTACAAAATTTAAAATATATTTTCTCTCCGTGCAGAACAATATTTATCCATGAAAAAATCAACAACTTTTTCCCTAAACTAGGATAGGGGGAAAAATTCATCTTTCTTCAATGACTATACATTCTTCAATTAAATCATAAGTGCAAACATTTGATGAATTTAACTCTAGAACGGAAGCACAATTTTTTAAGCCCCAGAAAAAATTTGTATTCAAACAAAATATTGAAAAAATCATTTTAGAATGTTATTGTACTATTCGCTATTATTGTAAATACATAAATGGTATTTTAACGATAAATATCCATTGGAAATAAAAAATTTGTAAATTTTGAGAAATTTTCTGTTTCTATTTTGTTTTTACATTTTTTTAAAATTTTTTAACTTTAGTAGAAATTTGCAATAGGATTCTCATAGGGCCTTTTAAAATTTTCCTTCTATCTATCTGAATCTAGTAAGGAAAAATTCAAGGAACTGGTCAGGGCCTTGGATTTTCTGTGGCGCTTAGATCTTGTCAGAAATGTCTAACAAGGAAATGTTGCGAGGACTCAACAAGAACCTCACAAGAAAACTGATTTTTTTTCTGTTTAATAATTTTAGGTTATTTGCTTTTAAATAATAATATTATTTATTTTCTATTGTAAATTATATTATTATTTATAAATATTATGCGTAGTTTTTGAAATATATTATTCTAAAAATAAAAATACAAAAAATAACCCGCTGTTTAGATTATGAAATAATGAAACATAATTAAAATTTTTATAAAAATTGTTTATTCAAATAAAGTTTTATAAAAGAAAAATTTTTTTTTGTAATAATTGACACAGAATAACAAATTTTTATAAAAGCAATGAATTGTACTAATACATTTTCAAATATAAACACAATAATTTCAACATTTAAAAACAATAATGATTTATTAATATAATATTTTAATTAAAAAATTTAATTGAGCAATAAATAACTTATTTCAACTAAAAATAGATTAATTATTATTTAATAATACACTTTTAATATTAAAAAAATTTGAATTTAATAATAATATAGTTTTTGTAATGTAAAATGAAAAACTATATAAAATAGTAATTCAAAGTCCAAGAGAGTAATAAATTTTCGATTATGACATTTTAATTCTTCTATTTTTGCGACTTTATTATTACTTACTTGTAATTATTTTCACGCACTTAATTTATGTTCTTTATTTGAAAATTATAATAATAGTATTTTTTCTTTATATCTTTTTTAATTTTATAATTTACATTTTTCAATTGGTTAGAAATAATCTAAAATGATCATTAAAAAACAAGGATGGAAAAATTAAATTTCTTGAAAGGTCCTTTGGGGTTCTTGCTAAGAAGATAATTCTTTTGTAAGACAATTTTTACAAGATCCGAGCGTTACAGAAAATTTCGAGGCCCAACCAGTTCCCTACATTTTTTCTTACAAGATTCTTACTAGAATTAAATTTTTGATAAGAAAACTTACGGAAAACTCTACATTTATTTAAAAAAATGAATAATACCATAGTCTTTCTTACTAAAATCGAAAAAATTTCACTATACTAAACCTCTTTTTCAGTAAAATAGAAACCTAATCACAAAAGATTCAACTTATGTGCCAAACCACCCCAGTTTTCCTTTAGAGAGTATAGAAAAATTATATTTCCGTTCTAGAGTTAATATAAACAATTCTTAACGATTTTTATATCCAGTTCAGTTTAAATACAGTATTATATATTTATTTATTTATGAAAATAAAAATTTCTAGGACTAACAAATACTTCATAATAGATACATATTGAAACATTCCTGTACTTCATAAGAATAAATTTCTGATATAATATTGGGTAAATCTTATTCAATTTACGATTGTCAAGTATAATTATTTGTAGAATTAAAAAAGAAAATAGCATTTTCTATAAATAATATGCAGAAAGAAATTTTTCTGCAAAAATTTCTGTTTATTTATTTTTGTTTTATTTGTATACTCTATCTATGAAAAAATATAATTTAAGAAAAATGGTATACTTACAGGAAATTAAAAGTGGGTTTATTAATTTTTCATATACAAGAACTTGTTTTATAATCCATTTTAATTGTTATTTAACACTTTCGTAGTTTGGTAAATAATCATTTTTGTTCCAAAAACGTTTAAAAATATATTTTTAATGTTATATATTTAATAAGGATTTAGAAGTCGTTGAATCTTGTTTTCAGCGGTCTGAATTTGAAAATTAAAAATGGCGGATCCAATATGGCGACCATTAATTAAATTCTTTACCAAATTTAATTATTTTCAATTCGATTTCACAAAATTTTGATTAATTTAATAATTCTTTAATAAATCTTGTTTTAAAATTCAAATACTTTTAAAAATTGAAATCAAATATCTCCGAAAACTATTTTTTTTTTAAATTGTCAAGGGGTTAAAGATTAAAGAGGTAATAAAAAAATATATAAAGTCTTTGATGTCGAAAAATTTATTTTTCCCCGAAATAAACTTTTTTTAGGGATCATTATAAAAACTAATTGTCTGTTTCAACTTTTGCAATTTGTTTCTAAAAAAAAAATAATAATTGATGAAATAACAATAAAAATGAATTTTCAAAACAGTTCTTCTTGAATATGAAAAAATAATCTATTTTTCTAATATCTGTGTGGAAAGTAGGACTTTGAGTTAGTTCAGAGACTAATTGGATTAGTGGAAAGAACCATAGCAATGAATTGATTTCTCCGTTAACTAACCAATTAGCAAAACTCTCCACTTAGTAATTAGAAAAAATATAATTTTTTATAATGAGAGATGGCCATTTCCCACGAAGTCGCCCAGGGAACGCATGGTTTGTAGCGACAAAAGAGGCATTATTTAAAGGGATTAAAATAAGAGCGCAATTTTTAATGATCTGCGCCACAAGCAGAGACGGCGTACGTTATAGCGGCTAATATATGTAAACTACTCAGAATTTTTAAAAGTAAGTAGACGAAAAATTTTGAAATAAACTTATTGCACCACAGAAGCGCAATCTCTACTCGTGAGGCAATAAAGCAATGAGAAAATTTACATCAATCGTAATTCTATTTTATTATTATTACTATTTTCAATAACCCATTGAGCATGAGTTGTAAATTTAATAATTTACCCAAGCTATGTTGCGAAATTGTTTCTATAGAGTTCAACAATCAGTGAATATGTGTATAGGTTAATTAGTGAAAAATATTTTCAAATACGTCAGCGACTTTTTCATTTCTTTCCTTCTCTAATTACTACATTGATAAAAAAATTATTCCCACGCTTCAAAGATAGCGCATAAATATTGCCTGCCATTTAACCGAATTGCCATTTAATCAAATTGTAATTTAAGGTGGAGTAACAACTTTGACCTGAAAACATTGATTTGTTTGCTTAATCGCGTTACCTTTCAGGGGTATAGAATATATTTCGATTAGGAAATTTGTGTAAAAAATATCAATATTTTTAAAATATGTCCCCCATGCTTTCGATTATTTTTCCCCTCGGACAAAATTTTCAAATTAATCTTCATAGGCTTAGATTTTTTTTTATCTAATAAGCACAAAAATTGCACTTTTAGATTGCAGACATTCATTTGTTCGATCTTATAAAATGTACTAGGAACAAATGTTACGGGCGCGGAACGTAATATGCAATTTTTTATTATTAATATTATGCGAATTACAAACTTTTTAAATTTCAAATATAAATTTTTGAATAATTTCATAATACAAAATTTAAATATAAAATTTTTAAAAAATTCGCTTATTAAGTACATTTAATTAATTATTATTGTTTATATTTTCAAAAATTTTGATAATTCAAACAAAAATTTTAATATAAAAGAAATTCAATTATTTTTATAAATAATAAAATTTTTTTGCAAAAATTCAATTATTTTCCAACAAAATTTTAATAAAATTTTATGAAAGAATTCAATTATTTTTGTAAAATTTTAATAAATCCTTCAAAACAATTCAATTACTTTTTCTGAATAGTAAAATATTTGCAAAAATTTTCAATTATGTATTTTTTCAAGAAAGAATTAAATTTTTTTCTTAATTCGTTATCCTAACATTTTTTTTTAAAATTCAATTATTTTTATACTTAAATAGTAAAATTCTTTGGGAAAATTAAATTATTTTTAATACAATTTTAATAAAATTTTATGAAAGAATTCAATATTTTAAAAAAATGTTTAATGTTTTTCGAAAAAATACAATTATTTTTTAATTTTTAATAAAATTTTTCAAAAAAATCCAATTATTCTCTAAAATTTTAATAAATCCTTCGAAGCAATTCAATTATCTTTTTATAAGTAGTAAAATTCATCTCAAGAATTAAATTATTTTTTATAAATAATGAAATTCTTCTCAGGAAGAAGTGAAAACAGAAATTTGTCAAAGTGAAACCGAAAATGAAAGTGAAAATTAGGTTTAAAAAAATTATAATAAAAAAATTCTTGAAATTAATTTTTTTTACATATTTTGAAATAATTTTTGAATGGTAATAGTTTTCTAATTACATTAATTGAAAAATTTCAAAATAATTGAAATTTCGTAAAAAATTTGTACAATAATTTAATTTTTTAAAAGAGTTTTTGGAAAATATGTATTTAAAAATAGTCAAGTTTTTGAAGAATTTTAATTGCAAATATGAAAATACATTGATTTCTTAAATTTTAATTTACTTTTTTTTGTAGATAATTGTAATGTTTTTTTAAAAGAATTGAATTTATCAAACGAATTTTTGGACAATTCAAAAAACTTATCAGTTTTATGCAAAATTTTAATTAAAAACATTGACAAACAAAATATTAATAATTAATTTTTTTTTATAGATATTTTGAATTTTCCGGAAATATGTAATAAGTATTAAAAATAATTGAATTTGAAAAAATTATATTAAAATAATTCTAAGAATTAATCTTTCATAAAATTATTTTTACAGTAATTTTTTGAGAGGAGTTAAATGGTCACAAACTAAAGTCAGGAAGAAAATATTTTGACCATTTTTGAATTTTCATTTTTTCAAGTAGGTAATATTAGGTATAAAAGGGGATTCAATTTAATAAAAAACGTGAATTTTTGATTTAAGTAAAAATTATTATATTATAGCGATTAAAAATTTATTTTAAACACTTTTTCTGTTAATTATTGGTATTTTCTTTATCTTTTTCCGTAGTTCGTAAGTTTCTTTAAATTTTTCATCAAAATTTTTGTTGCAAGTCTACTTTTGTTTTAAAATTGTATGAATTTTACGATATAGGAAGTAAATTTCAGAAACAAATTATTAATATTAACTTGGAACTTGGAAAAATTCCCTTAAAAAATAATAAAATTTAATATTAAACCATACTTTGAATTTAGTAAAATTTATTCTGAAATTAGTAGTTTTTAAAAAATTCCAAACAATTTTGATTTTTCTTAGAAGTAAAGGTTATTTTACATTTTTTTTACCTTTTATCAAAAGATTTATAAGTTTTTAAAGACCGGCTTTTAAGTTTTAAAAGATTTTTGAGTTTCAAAATACAAAACTTTTTTCAAAGTTTGCGAAAAGTAAAAATTTGTTCTTCAAGCATAACTAAAATGTTTTCTAACTTACAAAAATAGCAATTTTTACTAGTTTTTCTTAAAAATAAGGGGAAAGGGGAGAAAATTTATGATTTTAGCTGTTTTAGGGAATTTTATGAATTTCTATAAAAATAATTTTATGAGTGATTTTAATAATTTTTTTTTGACATAGTTAAAAATGTAGGCGAACCCTCCCCTTAATATACTTTTTCAAAAACTAATTTTCATTTTGAGTTTTAATTATAACGATTGAGAATTCATTTAATTTTAAAAATTGCAAATTAAAATTTTTCAAAATTTGATTTTTAAAAATTGTAATGAAATACTGAAAAATGTGAATTATTCGATAATATTTTACAAAATTTAAATTATTTCAACAGTTTTTAAATATATATTTCGAAAATTTAATTTTTATTATAGAAAAATTAATCAATAATAAATTTTGAAATATTTGACTTCAGTTATTTTTTACACTATAAAAGTGGAAGTCCATAATTATTTGCATTTTATTCCAAAAAAGTAGTTTCTATTTTGTTGCAATATTTGGAAGAAAAGTCGAAAAAGTCGTATTTTTTAAAAATAAGTCTAAAAAAGGCGCGTTTTTTGTAAGTAGTCGAAAAAAGTTGAACTATCCGAGGCCTGGATGTAGGCATTATTTAAAAAAAATAAAATGCAAGAAACAGTTTGTTGTTGCTCAAGAAAGCGACAAACATGTTTGATGCACACAGTTAAAAAAGTAATCAGCGACGCAGAACGAAAGGTAGTTATTCCTTCGGGATGCATGATAGCGAAAAAATGGCTAATTTCAGTTCCTTGTCATTTAATGTCAGTTAAATGCAAGTGACTAAATTAAAGATTAATGTATAAAACAAGGATCTTACTTGTAAGTGCTCGAGCAAACAACCACTTGATTCAAAGCTCGCTTCACACTTGTCCCATCGACAGAAGCCACTGCCTCCCGATGGAGATCTGTCCTTGTCGGGCGTTTGCGCTGGAAATCTGATGGTGGTCGGTGCCGAGAGTATCGGCGACAGTGGAGGCTTCGTTTCAATTCCATCTCTCGATGAATCCTCCTCCTCGTCGTCTTCCTCCTCATCAGGAAGAACATCCTCTTCCTTTTTATTCAAATTCGATATTGAATTTCTCACGAAATGATGATCCCCTTGCGACGATATCAGCGAAGTTATTGTGTTTGTAGAAGTTAATAAATTATTGCTCACATTATTATTTTCATTTATGCACATAATGTTGCTCTTAAAACTAGTTGATTCAGAACTGTCTTCTGAAGATTTTAGAGACGCGGCAGTGTTTCCCTTTTCAATTACGGAACTCGCATCCGTAGTTAACCTGAGGGACGAAATTTTACTATTTGGCAGTGTGGATAGTATATCATTTGAAACAGGCAGTGTTGGTATTGATTTTGGCAGTTTTCGCTCCAACTTGACAATACTTCGTGGTAAAAGAACGAGAGGCGATTTCTTTGTTGTTGTTGTTGGCATCGACAGAGACCTCACGTTCCAGTCTTTCACATTTGTTGTTCGTTTATTCGATAAATATTTAGATAGGCCACCTTTATTGTTTCTTTGTACTGTGGAAGGATGACGGAACTCGGTTGAATTTTTCGATACGTGAACAGACATTTCTGACGCTTTCTTGGTCTGAAAAGAAGATGAAAGATTGAAATTGATTTTTTTTTTTTTGAGAATTTAGGGAAGCAGACTTCGCACTCGATAATTAATTTTTTAAAAGTAGCAAAAATGCAAAAAATTTAATGTAAATATTTTATATTGAAAATAATTGAATTTTGAATATTTTTTGAAAATAATTGAATCGTTTCAAAGAATTTGATTATTAGTTTTGAGAATAGTTTTCTAATTTCTAGTATTAGCGAATTTAAAGTAGTGGAAATTCTCAAAAAAAATAGAAGCAGTAATAGTAGCTTTTAGTGGCTGAATTCTAAAAAAAGTAGCCAAATAGTAGCCTAACTTAAAAAAGTAGTAAATAGTAGATTTTAATAGATGAGTGCGAAGCGTGCGGAAGATTGAGTTTGGAAATAAACCTTCTGCTGTTGTGGCTTGACTTGTGTCTTGAAGTATTCGGTGATTTTGCCTTGAGATTCTTGTTGGTGAAGAAGACCTTTGGCCGTGGTTTTGGTGACTTGTCTGGAGGACGATTCGACGCGAGACGAGGTGACAATCTCTGGTTCCGCCTTTAGTCTCTTAAACGTCGTGCACGCTGCTTTGGCAAGTGACGGGGTCCATGGCCATTGAGGCCTGGAATCGTTATTCAAGACTGGTACAGATGGTGGCATTTTGCACCCCAAGGATGGAAGAGTGAGCCTCGCGGAGGCCCCGCGGATTCCTAGTCCTTCGTCGCTACTTGTACTGCAAGGTGACCCTGGCTCGGTGATATCGCTTGTGCCACTGCTGCTACTCTCACCATATGATACCGTCACACCACTGGAAAAGACAAGTTTTTCAAAATTATAACAATTGTCATCACTATCTGCAGTGTTAATATAGTAACATCCAAAAACTTTGCTCATGAATATGCTGCTGACAAAAATAGATAATTGCATCTAGTATACTTATAAGCTCATGACTGAATATCTTAGATGTTCTACTTTAGGAAATAGTTATTTTCGTAACAAGGGCGCAAAATAGGTGATTGCGACGATGGCGAAATGAAGGGACCGAGGGGACACAATTTCGCGCCCGAGGCGAAGCCGAGGGAGCGAAAGTGTCCCCGAGGTCCCGAAATTTCGCCAAAGTCGTAATCACCTTTGCGCCCATGATGCGAACATAATTTTTTGTCCTAACTGCATGGAAAGTATGGCATTGAGGGCACGCACGATTAAACTCTCATAGTAGTTAAAAATTAAGCTTTATATAAACATTATATCGAATGAAGTCTCTAATGATAGAAGTTTTAAAATAGAAATAAAAAACAATGTATTCTGGAAACATAGTATTTATTTAGAACGTAGTAATTACACGGAGAGAAATTTATAGTAGTGGGTAACATAATTGTGGTTAGGGTGACCATCTTTAATGCTACATATACAGACAGCTATCTAGATAGTCACCGTTACCATCAATATCATCAGGAGTAACATCTTGGTAGTACGAGGTAGCATAACTATATTTTTTTTAGCATCTGTGATGGTTGGCAGTAGCATAATGATAGTATCGTGTAACATCATCTTTTTAACATCAAAATCTGACTATCCATTTCTCTCAGTGTAATAATTAAACAAAACTGAAACAGGAACTTTTAAAATTGACAATTTTGATAAACGAAATGGGAACAAAACCAAATATCTCATTATTTTTTTTAGAGAAAATAAAAAAAAATTGCAAATTTTTATAGACAAAATAAAACAAGTTGAAAATGTTTGCAGTTTTATAGTCAACATAAAAAGAAAGTCGAAAATGTCGCATTTTAATGAAGAAAATCAAATAATTAACAAGCGGGCGGTAAAGTATTTTCCGCCCGCTCGGAGGTAGGGGAAGCGGGCGGAAAATACTTTACCGCCCGCTGACGTCATACAAGCGGGCGCAAAATACTTTTCCGCCCGCTTCCCCCACTCCCGGGCGTAATGTGTTACTTTGCGCCCGCCTTAAGTGCCCGAAATGACATACTTTCCGTGCAGGTAGGACAAAAAATATTTTTGATATTTAAACTTTTCATCTACATTCAACTTTATGAATACTGACCCTAAAGAATATTTTGATTTGATTAGATATTTGATTAGATACTCAAAAAAAATGTTCTATTACATCTATTAACGAATTTATTTAATTGTAACATTATTCGAAAACGTCAATAACTTCTTTTTTAAATATACATTATAATAATCGTAAGTTTCATTTCCGTTAGAAAATTATCTGCATTCATTTGTTTGTTTTGAAAATTAAATTTTGTGGGTTAAGTATTGGCATTTTTTATATATTTTTTAATGTCAAACTTTTTAATGTAAAAAATACTTTACTTGTTAAATTGTCTCGACTCTTTGGTGAAAAATCTAAAATTATCAAAAATTCGAAAAAATTAAAAAATTCGAATTTCTTAAAATTCAACATTTTTTGTTCTCTTTTATGGGATTTAGCTTCATTATTTTTGTGCTTTTGGAAAATACTTTACTTGTTAAATTGTCTCGACTCTTTGGTAAAAAATCTAAAATTATCAAAAATTCGAAAAAATTAAAAAATTCGAATTTCTTAAAATTCAACATTTTTTCTTCTCTTTTATGGGATTTAGCTTCATTATTTTTGTGCTTTTGGAAAATACTTTACTTATTAAATTGTCTCGACTCCTTGGTAAAAAATCTAAAATTATCAAAAATTCGAAAAAATTAAAAAATTCGAATTTCTTAAAATTCAACATTTTTTCTTCTCTTTTATGGGATTTAGCTTCATTATTTTTGTGCTTCTGGAAAATACTTTACTTATTAAATTGTCTCGAATCTTTGGTAAAAAATCTAAAATTATCGAAAATTATCAAAAATTCAAAAATCCGAATTTCCTAAAATTCAACATTTTTTCTTCTCTTTTATGGGATTAAGATTCATTATTTTTGTGCTTTTGGAAAATACTTTACTTATTAAATTGTCTCGACTCTTTGGTAAAAAATCTAAAGTTATCGAAAATTATCAAAAATTCAAAAATCCGAATTTCCTAAAATTCAACATTTTTTCCTCTCTTTTATGGGATTAAGCTTCATTATTTTTGTGCTTTTGGAAAATACTTTACTTGTTAAATTGTCTCGACTCTTTGGTAAAAAATCTAAAATTATCAAAAATTCGTAAAAATTCAAAAATCCGATTTTCTTAAAATTTAACATTTTTTTTGTCTCTTTTATGGGATTTAGCTTCATTATTTTTGTGCTTTTGAAAAATACTTTACTTATTAAATTGTCTCGACTCTTTGGTAAAAAATCTAAAATTATCGAAAATTATCAAAAATTAAAAAATTCGATTTTCTTAAAATTTAACATTTTTTCTTCTCTTTTATGGGATTTAGCTGCATTATTTTTGTGCTTTTGGAAAATACTTTACTTATTAAATTGTCTCGACTCTTTGGTAAAAAATCTAAAATTATCAAAAATTCGAAAAATTTCAAAAATCCGATTTTCTTAAAATTTAACATTTTTTCTTCTCTCTTATGGGATTTAGCTGCATTATTTTTGTGCTTTTGGAAAATACTTTACTTATTAAATTGTCTCGACTCTTTGGTAAAAAATCTAAAATTATCAAAAATTCGAAAAATTTCAAAAATCCGATTTTCTTAAAATTTAACATTTTTTCTTCTCTCTTATGGGATTTAGCTGCATTATTTTTGTGCTTTTGGAAAATACTTTACTTATTAAATTGTCTCGACTCTTTGGTAAAAAATCTAAAATTATCAAAAATTCAACTATCCGATTTTCTTAAAATTCAACATTTTTTCCTCTCTTTTAAAGCCATTTAGCTTTATTATTATTTGAATTTTTATTTAAGAGAAAAAATGGAAAACTGAAAAAATTTATAAACTTTTAAAAATTCCATACCATTTCCATGATTTCCCTGATTTCCAGATTCTGTAGGAACCCTGCTTTTGCCTGACTTTCTTCTAAATTATCGAATTCAGTGATTTCTGGGGTATATTTGGTTAAGTTGTAAAATGATTAATTTCTATTTGAATTCGTTTTTTTTTAATGTAGAAAATCTGATGTTAATTTAATTCTTTTTTCGTTATGCACGGCAAAAAATATTTAGCTGGATGAAGTACAGATTTCAATTTAGTAGCGAAATTTTCAGTGCTTCAATTAATACTTTCGTTATTCTAGAGAAACTTATCGCTATTTCAAGTAAAACTTTTTTCAGTGTGTAATAATTATTATTTCTTTAAAAAGTATTTAATTTAAAATGGCTTTATAAAATAAGCAATGCAAAAGATGACCCAGATACTAATTGTAATTGTTCTAGCCATAGTTTAAGTCTAGTAATGTAAATTCTATTTAAATTGAGACCATTGAGTGAAATTATTTGAATTTTAGTTAGTTAAATCTCTTTGTTAGGTTATAATAATTATTTCTTTAAAATTTTTTAAATTGTTTAAAATAAGCAGCCCTAGACAACATTCCCGCGCGCTTGCGCGCGGATAGTTTGGCTAGTAAATATATAATCATTATTATTTTTCCATAGGAATTAAAATTTCTAAAAATTTCAAATTCAAACCGTCTTGAAATTCAACAACTTAAAAGAATTATTACCATTATTTCAGTTAAAGAGCAAGTTTTATATAGATAAATCCATATTTTCTTATTTCGTGAAATTGAAACAAATGACTTTCCTCATACTTAACCACTAATGTTCATTTTAAAATAAAAAATTTGTAATAATTTCTTTCTATAACAAGGTTTTTATATTTAAGATGTCTATTTTTAAATAAACTCTATCATAATTAAGTGATTTAAAGGTTTTGGTAATTTTTTCTAATAAAAATATAAAAATTATAAGTCATCTTGGTTATGTCAAAAAGTTTTTAAATTGAAAATTCGTTGTTAATAACTTAACTGTGACAGGTTGATTTGTGAGGTCCTCAAAATATTAAATTTAAGTTTATCTCCATTTTTTTAAAAAGTTCTTTGAGAATTTCCAAATTCATTTCTTTACAATTCAATTTTACAAAATTTCGTCGATTATTCGGAAATTCTTCAATTAAATATAAATTAGAAAATAAAAACTTTAAATAATTTCAAAATAAAATTTAATTAAACCTTTTCAAAAAAAATTAATTCTACAGAACTGTTAGTTAAAAGTATAAAAAATTCAGATCTCCAAAGAATTTAATTTAAAACATTTTCAAAATTTAATTATTTCAGAAAATTTAAGCTATAATGCTTTTAATATTCAATTATTATTTAAAATTTTAATTAAAATTCATCTTTAAATCAGTTTTTATCAGAAAATGTTATATCAACAAATTTTTTAATAATTGAATTCTTTCGACAAATTTTAATACTATTTTTAAGAATAATTAAATTTTTCGAGTAATTCGATTAAAATTGTTTTAAAAATAATTAAAATTCTGCGATGAGTTTTATTATTTATGAAAATAATTGAATTTCTAAAAAAAAATGTATTATTTATCAAAATAATTTAAACCCTGTAATAAAATGTATAACTTATGAAAATAATAGAATCATTGTGAAGAAATTTGTAAAAAAAAAATGTAAATTATTGAATTCCTGTGAAATTTTTATTATTTATTAAAATATAATTTAAAGTTTGCGTAGAATTTTATTAAAAAATTTTTTGAAAATAATTGAAATTTTGCCAAGAATTTTATTAAAATTTGAATATAATTGAATTTCCAAATTAAAAACTTGAAATAATTTTTTAAAAAAATTCAATAAAAAGTATGATAAAATCGGATTTTCAAAGATTTCAATTTAAAACCTATTCAAAATTTAATTA